AAGCATGTGAGTTATAGTTTTACTCTCATTAGTCACAGCAACAATGATCAAGTCTAGAAACTTTAACACTTCTATCCCAAGAAAATATATTTAGATTTTTTATTTTTTTTTAGATCAGGTTAGAGCTCTTGACTTACCATCCACCACGTCCTGGCCGATATGTCATAACAAAGTTGCCATTTGATGGACCTCTCTGCCCGTTTCCCAGCCATCACTGAGCACGCTTTTTGCCCCAGTGGGAGACAGCACAGCTAATCAAAGGGGGCATCGTTACAGGCATGCTGAGCCACATGTAGGCCAGTCCTTCACCAAGCTGCATCATGGGAAATAAAAAAAAAAAAAGGGATCAGCAACAGATTGACCAGTGACTCGAACCTGACTTTGTTAATTAAAAGTACTCTGACCCTTTGACCTTAAACAACCCCACCCCCACACTTACACCCTCTTGTTTCTCTCCCCTTTATAACAGCCGTGTAATATGTAAGAGTAAGGCAAAAATATAATTAAAAACAATTGATGCTTTGCTTTCTGGCTGCCAGATAATATTTTAATCTTTTAAAGGAGTCAGTTTCTCTCCTGTCTTCTATCCTGACCGTGAAAGATAATGAAAAGCCATTTTAACACATTAAAATGACTTAAAATTAACCATTCCATTGGTGCTCTTGCTGAATGATTCCAGTTGTTTTCCTGCTAAAAAGATGCACCTTTACATCATTCTAAAGCCTTTTCAAACCCTCTAATATGTTGTTTCCTAAATTTAGCACCTGTTATTGCAAAAAAATGAGTATTTTTCAAATTTTTAAATAAAAGAACAGAATTCTCTCCACTTTAAAAAAAACCGCACATGCACAACCCTGTACTTGCTGAGAGGGAACGCCTATTAAACGCATGTGAGAGCATGCATGAGCTCATGCACTCTCTGTTTAAAAGTTGCTGTTTGCATCGCCCATACAAGCTTACTTTTTCAAAAGAAGGTTTGCAATTTTTCCGCTCTTATGACCCTGGGCCATTTTTAAAGAAAGGCGAGCTTCAATAATTGGCTCAAGCCATAGCTCACCACACACATATACACCTGAAAGTATGCATGGGCAGTTAAAGATAACCACTAGGGATGAGGACGTAGGACGGTCTAAGGTAAGCATATCACCAGAATGATTGACAATTACGGGGACCGCTTATTTTGATAATCTGTCCGGAAAAAGAACATCCTCCACTATACCTTTTTTAATAGGCCAAAATATGATTTTTACTCATTCTGACAACACTAAAAAAAAGCATTTCTATTTATCTTCCTTGGCCTGCTCAGTGGAGCAGTGAGTAGCACTGCCGCCTTGCAGCAAGAAGATGTTTGATTCCTGGCCCAGCTCTTTCTGCATGGAGTTTGCATGTTGTCCCTGTGCATGCTTGGGTTCTCTCCGGGTACTCCGGCTTCCTCCCACAGTCCAAAAACTTGGCTGTTAGGTTAATTGGTGTGTGAATGGTTGTTTGTTACTGCGTTGCCCTGCGATGAACTGGCGACCTGTCCAGGGTGTACCCCGCCTCTCGCCCGTAGACAGCTGGACATAGGCACCAGCACCCCTCGTGACCACCCTAGGGGTGACAGAAAATTGAATATTTATCTTCCACCTCACATAAAGGCTCATTCACTCACAAAATAAAATGAACTTTGTGGTTAAAAAAGTTAAAAGTTAATTTTTATTAAAAACAAACAAAAAAAACTCTGTTAGGCACTGTATGGTCACCACACGGATCATGTACCTGATCACATCAGTCAGAACAACAATAAATGATTTTTGTCCGTCATCAAAAATCAACAGAAACTCTCAGCTTCAACAATGAAGTTGGTATTGAGTCATCTTTAGATGTTTGTACCAGCTCTGTGTTGTTGTTTTTGTATCCATAAATTAAGCGTCATTGCGTGTCCATGTAAATGCTGTCCTAATGCTGTTTGAAAAGAGTTTTTCTTTCCATCCAGATTCCAATCCTCCTCAGCGAGACCTTTCGGTGGCAGCTGGATTTCCCCACGGCGACGGTGGGTGGACTTGGAAAAATGAACTTAGCATATGTTATCTCACATGTGTGACATTAGAAACCAAGAAGGCTGAATTCAAAAACAAACAAAAGTGTTTCTTTATTTAAGGAATTAATTTGTGGCCAGAAGCACTGCTCATATAATTTAATATCTTTAAGAAAACTTTTTAGTTTGATTGACATTTTTGTTAATACAAAAATCCTCAAAAATAAAAAAAACTTTCATATATATCTATAAGAATATTTGCAGAATCTTAGTTCTATTAGCCACTGTGTTTGGAAAGTTTTATAGGGGTGTAAACAATCATCTGTCCAAAAAGCTGTGAGAGGTAAAGGTTATTCAGATGCATCACTACTGCCGTGGTCTAAGCCAGGAGCTAAACTATCCTGAGACAAAAGACGACAAAATCAGGTTTTAAACCCACAGTTAGGATGGATCTATTCTTATTTTTGTATGATTTCAGAGTCAGATTTACTCAGCATACATGTTAGAAAAACTTAATGCAATGCAAAATACAGAACAAATGGTTGAATTAAAAAGTTCACTAAGCAATACTGTCAGTGTCAGCATAAAACACAAACTCTCCAAGATCCAAACAAAAGAGAACAAATGTGTGTGTTTACAGGACATAAATGTGAACTGAAGTATAAATCTATTGTTTTCTTAAAACACAAAAAGAATCTGTGCACTTCAGTCCTTCAGTGAGCAAAAAAAGGAAAATGCTGGAGTCCCTGCAGGACAGCAGCGCACATCTTATTGATTTTAATGTTGAAATCGATACATTTCATCGTCTTGATGGGATTAGATTTTTTTTAAGTGCAACTTTTAATTGGATTTCTACTTTCTACGAAGACACAGTGTTTGAAAATCAATAGGCCAATCAATAACCTCAGTGTACAGGAAGTTCAGCATCCGGAGCTGCAAACTGGAAAAACGCGGCACCTGAAAAAAATCTACTATGGCCTTTGCTTTTAACAGGGAGAAAAAACAGCTATCATTTATAATAACAGCTAAACTTCAAATTTAAAGACAATATTTAGCTTTTGCAAGAAAGAATAATCCTAAATGCAAATTTGGAAGATCTTTGCTTGAAAACTAAAGCAACGTGTATCCTTACTGGATCCATGGCTAACATGGACAGATATCCCAAAATAATCATGCGCCTCATGGCTAGTGATCCAATAATAAATTCTGAGACTTTAATCCTCGTCTAAGCTTCACAAAATAGCAGTAAAGCACGCCAAGCCACAAAACTCCAATCCTAGACAGGTAAACATGCATCTGAGATGTAACAGTTCGGGGCGTAGCTGTTTATTAGGCATGTGGCTAATTATTTTCTTTTGTTCAACCAGATGTCATAGATGACAGAAAGAGCAGGTGGTCATTTATCTAATTAGCCCAGCAGACCCAGCCATTATAACAGATTAGAAACACACAACAGAAGACCGCTATTATCTACGCTGGATCCTTTAAATGCTATCATGAGAGTCAAAGCTGACAAATTGTATGTGAGCAGTTTTGTAACATAGCCCATGTTTTTGTGACATTAATCCTTATTAAGACCCCAGCAAGCTGACTGGATATTTTGCCTCTTTTTTCTTTATTAGCTACTTTAAAGGCAGCTTCTCTTTGTGGTCATTTTGAAAAAAGTAATGCTATTAATACTAACAATAAACATAAGAAGGAGCCATTAAATCAAATCAAACTGTGTAATTCAACACATAATACCACAAGTGTGGATGATAACCGCAAATGTTGTGAAGAGATTAACTGATTTTTTTCTCCCTGAGCATGCTGGGGTGTCATGACCTCCTCAAACTGAGAACAATTGGGAGCGATCGTGTTTAAGGTTGGCACATTCTATGCTTTTAACATGACACGCGTTCACATGTGGTGCACCTATTTGTTGCCGCATCGAGACCTCTTAGGACAATGACTGATTAGAAACAGCTCAGCTGATGTCTCTGGCCACTTGTGCAACATTCCAGATAATCATTCAAACAGAAAAAGTTTTGCTTAATACATTTGTCTTTTTGATTAGTCCCGAAATCCATAAGAAGGTATAGATATTAATCATAAAGCTAATTATTGAATTACAGGAGGTTTATTTTTCTTTTTGTGAAGATTCTTCTTTTTCCATTTTTGGCTTCATATTTAAATTCTAAAATAAAAACATACCTTACTTATAAAATATGGTAAAATTAATCCATAAAAAATTCTTTTGTTTTTTTAAATAGCTGATCTAACACCATATATCAGCTATATTCTCCTGAACATTTGACACGTTTCTGGTTTTCAGCCTAATTTTCTGAGTATTTAAAATAAAGCTTAGAATATAATTAATCCTTCAGAATATTTATTTGTATTCCAAGAGTTTGAGTTCCACAACTTTAAAATGTCACCTTGCAGAAATAGACAACTGCTCTAACTTTTCCGTTTTTGTGTTGTTTCAAACACAAAGATAAATGTGTTTTATTTTTATTTTGAATTACAGTCTGAACATAAATAGGTTTATGTTGAATTGGAATGAATTCAGTAATTATTATTAGTTATTTATTATTAACAATTATATTTGTTATTTAGTATTTCCCCTCAAGGTTTTTATATGCTTAAACGTTTTTTTATTATCAATTGTAATATAAAAGACAAAATGCCCAAGGCTATCAATTTACCACCAGCTGGCTAAGGTTATATAGCTTTATAAATCTTATTTGAGAACATATTTTCTACTTTATTAACTTATCTTTTTGTATCTTCTTACTGAAATGTTTTTGATAATAATCTGATAATAACATTAATGTGTGACAAATAGCATAAACAAAGCAAAAAATAAATATTTTCGTTGCAAATACATTTTACAAAAATGTACATAAAGACTATATGCTCCAAAATAAAAAAAAGAACAAATTTGACAAAAAAGTTATTCTGAACGTAATTTATTCAAAAATGAATAACTTTACATTTCCTAAATTCACAATTCGTAACGTAATAAGTTGGCAACTTTTCATAAGATTTATAAACTAATTGGAAACACATTCACAAAAAGTATTCCAGTGTTTGAGGTCTGACTTCAAACCAAATAAGGCTTTAAAACTATGCATTACGAAACATAAAAAGAAAATGCAACGGTCCAAACTCTCATCCCTGTGGGATGCCAAGCAACAGCTGCCTCTCGGAAATGTTCACATCTACATTTTCCAGCAATGCAGTACAAGGCAATGACATGTAGTTATAAGCTTGGCAGCCGTACACAGGTTTAATGTCAATAATAGCTGTAAACTTTATGATAACAAAATAAAATAACAGTAAAAACAGAAATAAGAAAAAAACAATGTTTATTGCTCTCAAATATTTTAAACTAAATAAATAATAGGAAAATAAAACAACCTTTTAGAAATCAACCATACATTTTTTCCTTTCATTGTATCCCAAAACACCAAGAAATAATGATTTAAAAAATCTCACAAGCATCCAATACCTTAACACAACAAAAATCAATTTGCAAACATAAAATTATGCTCATGCAAATTCAAATACATATCTCCCATTAATGACAACATCTCTTTAAAAGGTTTTGCTTTCAAAATGAAGTCATATTAAAACAGACTGTGTGCTAGCTAGATATTCAGTGCATAATATAAAACTGCTACCTTTAAAAATTGGGTGAAACATGCATTTAATAAATGCTTGCTATTTATTGCAACGCTTTCCCAGATCTTTGGTCAGTGTGGACTGTACAGTGATGGTTAAATAACATAAAAAGTTTAAAAAAAAAAAAAAAGGTGACCTAGACAGGCACTTAAAACTACTCCACACACATTATGCTTTGTTAACATACAAGTTTAGCATTACTATAACAATATTTATTTTTGTAAATAATTCAGTAAAATCCCAAGCTTTTTCAAGGGGCAATCTAACATAGCTATCATAAATATGTCAAATTAACAGAGCAAACTAGAGTTTACTACCCAAACAGCAAGAAACACACAATTATAATGATTCCATGCTATCTGTTAGCACCAAAAATATCTGTGTTAGCATAGAGCAATTCACAAACTAATAATAATAATAATTAATAATAATTCACTCTGTGCTAGCACGCCAATTTTAGCCCGTGTTAGCATACAGAGCAATTAGGTAATTGTAGCAAAAGGTGGTTAGCAAGCTGTAGCCCAGAATATCTGGCTATCTGTTAGCCACTGTTAGCCCCATCTAAAAACTGAAAAATAAAAGAAAATCAACGATAAAATAATTTTATTTCCTCTCAGTCTACAAAACTAAGATAATTTAGATTAAGTGGAGTGGGTTTAAATGCTCTACATTAACAGAATTAAATGACTGTCCTTCAGTTTAATTAGAAATTGTTTTTTCTCTGAAACCTCTGGCTGTTGTCTTTTAGATTGTACATGTACTTGTTTTTTTTTTTTTTTTTTTCCCCTATACGCCTGCTTAATAAAATTATATTTATGTTTCTACAACATGACCAGTCTTTGAGCTCTCTATCTGGAATATAAATATAAACTTTAATTCAAAATATGCATATAAAATTGACCTAAAGGGCAAGACTCAAATTTCCTAAAACTTACAGAAAAACGGCTCCAATTATTTGTAATGTAATTAGTATGATTAATTATATTTATTCAAAAGAAGAGCTTAAGAATGTGGCTTGTATAGTTTTTTATGTTAAAATTAGTCAAATATATTTCTAGTAAGCACTAATAAACTGACTTAACCTACACATTTATAAATACACATTTTCCACATGACTTGATTAAAAAACTAAGTATTTGTTTCCAGATTATTTAAGATTTAAAAAAAAATTGCAGCCAGGAGTTGTTTCATAGGTGCGAAGGATCACTTGAAAGTCTGACTACCTCCATTAAAGTGTGGGTTTGACTGTTTGGCAGTCTGGTGAATAAAGGTGTGTGTTAAAACAATAGCAAAGAGCAAAAAGAAGCGGTGATATGGAGAGACAGAACTGCTGCAATCCATCAATCTCAAAAAGAGTCTAGTGACACTTCCAATTAATTTTAAACTCATTATTCCACAGAGATTAACATTGTTAGGAATCAAAGCTATTTGGAGTTACCAACCCTACTCATAACAGACATCCCAGGAAATCAAAATCCATGAGCTAAATGTGTTTGATGTCAAACAATAAACAAAAAGACTCAACGAGTATGGCTTGTGTGGAAGACCTGCCTGGAGAAAACCTTGAGGATGTACCTGGATTAACCAAAAGACCTGTGCGAGAAAAGCCATTGCACAAATGAGACCAAATTAGACATGTTTGGTCATATACAAATATACCAACAACGCAAACATCTCATACCAACTTTCAAGGATTGTGTTAGATGGCCAATGATTTGGGGCTAGTATCCAGAACCCTGGATCCCTTGCATTCAATTAGTTGATCCTGAGCTCCTCTATATAGCAAAGTGGTCTAGAGTTAAACTACCGTAAGACTATTCCAGAGTCCAGAGTATCGACCTCAACCTCCTTGATAGGCTTAGAGTGGGTCCTTAAAGGGACTGTACATAAAGATAGACACACAAACATCAAGGTATTGTTGATCAAGATGGTTTTAGAAGCTAAAACAAAAGCAGAACACTTAGTTATATATGTATATATATGACTGTACCTTGAACTTTTAAGAAAAACAGCTGATTCTAACAGCATAATTCGAAAAAAAAAAAACAATAGAAAATGAACATCATCTTCTGATCCGTGAATATTAAACTAATATTTTACAGCAGGATTATTTATTATTGATTATATTAGCCTTTCTTTGCTTTAAAGCTCTCTGCAATCGTATAACATCTCCTTCTGAGTAGCAAGGTATCAACTTTGCTCTGTGGCCTTGCCTTTAAAAACAAAACACATTATAGATAAAATTATAATATATCATTTGAAGAAAACATTCATGAATCATTAGAGGGTAACCCTATCTAAGAACCGCTTTAAAAGAAGAATAGGACTAATAAAAAGTCCCGAAAACAAAAAAAAGGCACAAACTTTCCACAGAAATCAAACATTTCTAACTGATTTGTTCTTGTGATAACTAGTGAAGGCTTTTTATGACGTGTCCTGAGAGATGTCGCATTGCTACCAGCAAAGGTAGCTCCCAAAACGATAAAAATAGCACTCACAGTAAATAAAACATTTTGCATTAGTTGAAAATGTATTTGTGACCCTGTTTGATAAAAAAAATACACAGAGTAGATCTAAGCAAAAGAGAAGGATAAAATTAGATATCCGCTCACAAACCATGATCGCTCTTGTAGCTCAGCAGAGGATGAATAGTAGCAGATATATTTGTGGGGTTTTTAGGAGTATGTTGAGTGTTTAACTATAGCAGCTTCTACTGAGAGTGTAGGCAGCAGAGGAAATGTAGTGTGGCAGGGCTATACATGGCTGCGGTAATGGTGGCCCGCCTGCAGAGGCTGTCTGCTGCGCAGTGGGAGGAGCCATAGAAGTTTCCAGCGTGTGCCACAAACTTCAGCGAGCGCCCACTGCCACGATCTTTTGGTTCCATATCTGAACAGAAAAAAAAAACAGGTAGAAAAAATATATAATTGCATACATAGTAACAATTTCAACCCTATAGCAGGTGACTCCTTTGGAGGAACACAGCTCCATGGGGCGGCATCCCAGGGCAGCATAAGTTTGAGGGCGTCACAAAACATAAACAATTACATTATTACATGCTAAAGAAGGTGAAGCTGACCTTGCCATGTTGTGCACTATCTACTACAGAATGGAAAATACAGCAGGCTAATGATGCTGGAGTTGATAACTGGCTGAAAGTCTCAAATTCTCCACAACATAAAACCAAAAAAAAGCCTTAAGTGCAAATATTTCAGCTATCATAGTCATTACTTCAAATACATGTTTGCAATTTTTTCATTTAATAATAGAAACCTACAAGAAAATGCTACTCCAGTTAAACTGTCATAATAAATAAATCCTGTATTTATTAAGGATGCTTCAAATAAACCTAAATGTGGAGGTAATAAATAGTGGTGGTTTAAAGGTCATTAAGGCTCTTAAGAGGAGCTTAAGAGGAGCTTATTTTAAATTGCACCATTATCCAGCAGCGAAAATCAGTCAGACAGAATAAAACCAAACTCACGTTTCACTGGAGAACTGAGACATTTTTTCAATGGTGGTCATGTCCTGTGAAAAAGAAGAAAAAAAGAAACGGTTATTTATAAACTTGTATAAAAAAAAAAGTTGTAGCCTTCTCATTTTGGATTCTGGGGTCCATTTCAAAAAGCAGGTTTACTAGAAATTACTCTGAATTTTCTAAACCTGAAATCAGGGAAACAGTTTTTTTCCGGTTCACAAAGAGGGTTTGCTCGACCTCTGCTTCTGTTGCCATAGTAACTTACTACCCAGACCTAACCTGGTGGGAAGCAGGTTTTGTTCACTAAAGTCCTCTGTCTCCGCTCTCCTTACAGTCAATCAAGTTGCTTTATTTCCTGATTTGCTCAGGAGAGTTCTGTCATAGTTTTGTGTGAACAATAAAAAGGAAATCCTTGAACAGGTCCGTTTAGACCTAGTGAATGTTAAAAATAAAAACATAGCATATCCTATTGACAAGGATCCAAATAAAGAACGAGCGGCATTCATTCAGAGAATTAAATATAATAATAAAGATATTCGGTTATCTTTATTAGCGCTACCGTTTCGCCTCACATTCCATCACATACATCCTCGACCTCATCCGTCCACACATTTGCAGCAATGGCTTCTTTAACAGCTATTTATAAGTAATTAATATCTGTGAAAGTACATTGATGTGTGATAACAGCATTATAAAATCGACTGCACAGTCAAGACCGGAGCCTGATGAAACGATGAACAGGACCTACCTGTCGACATTTTTATTCTTCATCTTCAAATTTAATACATTAATTCACTACCATTTAACCAGTAAACTAGTTTCCCCCTCGTAATGACAACAGCTGGCTGTTTTTGATATTTATTAGTTTGTCTGAATATGTATTTTTGATATCTAAAATACATTTTCTCCTTTTCAAAATAACCATTCTGCACATTCCTATTGTTAATGATCATAATTTGTATTCCTTTTAATCAGAAAGAAACACGTTTCAGATATCATAAATAAATATTCAGTCAAGCTGGTAAAAGTTCAAACTGCTGCTTAAAATGTGTAAACATTTCTAGGTATAAAACACTTAATCCTTACAAGTACATTTTTAATTTTTACTTATCATTTAGAAAAACTTTTTACTACAGCTCCAACTAGGAGAGTGATTTTGACTAGAAAGAATCTTATTTTAGTGATCTACAAATAGAACAACAGAGAGAAGAGTGCTTTTACTAAAACGGCCACTTCATAAACCTATGCATTAATTTGAGCAGCACTCTTCTCCTACACCATCTCCCTCTCCTTTGCAGCTGTTGTGCTGTTTCTCTGTCTTTTAAACACTTTCACAAATGTGTTTTTTCATTTTTGCATTAAAAACTCTAGTTCCAGTGGGGTGAAGTAGGCACTTCCTGTTGCCGGTCGTCATGGTGGCTTTTCATACTTGTTACGCACGTGTTTAACTCTGAGAGGACCTACTTACAGTTGATTAAACTAACTCACAGCAGCCGTTGTCGAGGTTCTAACCTCAGGCTAGATCAATTCAGAGTTGAGGATTCGAGTTTATTAAACCTCTAGGAAATAGGCCCTAGAATGACAGCAGTTGGTTCTCAGCACAGTAGATAGTGGACGTTCAAAACAATAGAGCGCTGAAATGTAGGTTTTGATGGTTGGCTTTGCAAAAATTATGATGTATCGTGCAAACATTAAATTAAAAAAGATAATAAATGATTAAACCCATCTGTAAGACCAGGTTACATTTTGTTTTCATTTTTCTTTGATATTTAGCATTAGCATGTCATTGGTTTGTATCCACAATATTCTGTAATGTCAGCTGATATACTGCAATGTAAGAGCAGGCTGCTGTTTCTAGTCTCCCACAGTATTTTATATCCACATGCATGTTGTCACATAGAAGACTTCACTTCCTTTCTCTCCGCCATGCCATAATTGGCTGTTTTATTCTGTTGGAGAAGCAATCTTATACTATCTGTAATGATAATTCTATGAATAGATATGAAAAAAGCCTTTCAAGGAAACTGAAAAAATCCATATATCTAACAACTTTTACTTTACACAATTAGATTTTTGAAGTTGAATCGTCTTTAAAATAAAACAGGATCCTATTTCTTTTAGGCCTCCTTCAAAACAGGGAAGATGAGAGAAAAAGCCATTTAATTAACACAAAAAACGGCTACAAGGAAACAACAGCTTTCCTGAATTTTTAACAATTAATAAAATTAAGAACAAGATTCCTCACAAGATCTGTGAAGAACAAAACTGGAACAGAACCCAAGTTATTCTTCACTGGAATTCAGGATAAAAACAAACGTTAACTTGAGAAACAAGTGTTTGTTGGGGTCAAAATGTCTCTATATATACACCTCTTCACCAGGATGACAACAAGTTCAATACAGACTAACAGCGGACATCAGAGGAGCAGCAGTTTGGCCGTTAGTGACCGTGGGAGTACTCACAGAGAGGATGCCAGCCATCTGGGAATAAAACAGGCTTGACATGCCACCAAACATGACCACACCCATGACAGCAGAAACTCGAAGCAGAGCCAGTTCATGACGCGTTGTAAACCTTTCCTGGAAACAAAAAGACAAAAAAAAAAAAAAACAGGAAATACAATAAGCAACTCCAGTTTAGCTGTGCTTCATTATATTTTGCTGCAAATTATAAATGACATACCACAAATTTAGTAAATCTGTAGCAAGAAAGCAGACCCTCTATCTCACCTGGTCTAGCCTTGTCAGCGGCTGGAAATAATAGTACTGGCAAAAGTCCAGCACCAATGTGAAAAAGCTGAGGACCTGAGCATAAAAACACAACTGCAGGAAGAGCCAGTGGTTGTCTTCTCCAACACAGTTATTGATCCTGAAAGAAAGGGAAACGGGAGTAAGGATTTAATCTTTTATTACATTTTCTTGATATAAGGATGGACGTCTAACTGGATGACATCATCGAAGAGTCAGGGCGGCCAGTCGGCAATCTCAACGAGTAAAAAGTTTCCAGCTTGAGTATCATCTTTCCATATATTGATATATGAGGATTCTGTTCTTTATCATGATCTAATTTAAAAGGAACCTGGACCTTTAAATTGGGTGTCATGGGGTTAGACTATGATTATCAGGAGAAGCAGGTACAGGCAGATGCCAGAGGAGCAAAAAGTGAAACTATATAAATAGGAAACCTGGAAGAAAACATGCTAGAAGTTACAAAGGTCTTCAGACCAAATATACAGCCAGAGCTACAAAAGAAGGGTGTAGAACAAATCATACCCAGGAGTTAAAATTTTACTATCAAGTTTAACACCAAAATGAGATAAGACAATTGTTCACAAGACCAGACAGTCCAGTCTGACTGCATTTGAGTTATGCTTGTAGATTGTGCAATAATCCCAGTCTGTTTAAAGTCAGAACTGGTAGATTTATACTGGAGCTGCAGCTGCGTTCGAAATAAAAAAGTAATTCCACACAGTTTACGATTCAGTGATTCATAGGTTTTTTTATAGGTTCGTTTTTTTGTATTTGTCAAGTATAATAGATATCTATATCATAATATATTACTATATTATAAAACAAACCGCCATGCAAATTCTTTTATAACAACAGCCATTCGACTTTCAAATTCTATGCAGATTATCTTGTTTTTTTGGGAGTTTTTTTAAAGATAACTGTAATCTTTTTTCCATTTTTCCAGTGTTTTTATTGTCATTAATGTTCCAGTTTGTGTGGGTTGTTATTTGTGTTTTCCTCTCTCCACCACCAGGCGGTGCCCTGTCCTCGTTGGCCCTCCATGCCCACCTGCGGCTCATTACCAGAGGAGTACTTGAGCAGCTGGCTGTCACCACCTCGACGCCAGAGTGTTTGCCAGTATTGGGTACTCTAACCAAACTGAGATTAGCAGAGTCTAACCTTAGCATTGTTTCTCTGAGTCTGAACTTGTTTTTTGTTTTTGTTCATCCACAGGAAGACTTCCTGTGTTACTGGATGAGCCTGGACCTTCTACCCCTGGAAGGAATTCCTGAGTCTCACTGAGCAAGGGGAAAACAACCACATGATCCGTTCAAGTCCACTCCTGGAGAACCAAGTGACAGTCGGCACCTTTACTCCTCTGGATCCAACGTATGTCTGCCTGTCCGCTCTCCAACGAGTTCACTTTTCTCTGGATTAAACCCCCACAAACTGGATCCAAGGATAAACCAAGAACCCCTAAAAGTGAGTGCCTCTCCAGCAAGATTCAAGCCTTGCTCAGATACCCAGAGGGGCAATGTGTGGGAGTGGGTTTGGAACTCACAACCTCAGAATTTCAAGCCCTATGCCCTAACCACCAGGCCGCCACTCCCCGGGATAATGTTTTAATCACAAGATACTCCCCGGGAGTGTCTTTCTGTGTTTTTATTATCATGAATTTTGGTCCTCAATCTCCCAATCAAATTTTCCTCTTGAATCATCTTGTCTTTGATGTTATTACATGTTTATTTATTTCTTTTTTGTCTCATGCACTGTCCAAATTGCACAAATGAATGTTTTTTATCCTGAATTCCACTTAAGAAAGTGGTCTAGATCTATATTGTTATCTAAACAGATATAAATTAGTGGTTTTAAAATATAGAAAGCACTGCAACTCTTTCAGTCTGCTAATACAGAAGGTCGGTAGATCCTATTCCTATTAATAACACTGGACGTAGATAAGTCTCAGTAAGGTAGTAGCTGTGTACTCACCAGGGGCAGTGGTGGTCCATCCTGCGCACACAGTGACCACAGCGGCTGCAGTGGTGTGACCTTTTAGGTCTCATTAAGTTGCACTTATTGCACAACTCCCAGTGTTCTCTTTCTGCAACACAAACAGACATCAGAATGCGCAATCTATAATTCATAGTTTCAGGTATTTCATCATAGACTACAAGATTTTACAGCTAAAGATGACAAAAGTAAGCAGCAACAGTTTCTTTTTTCCTGCTTTCCTTACCAGAGTGAGGTATGTGTGGGTCCAGAGGAAGACGGCCGGGATCTGCAGTGGAAGCTCTAAACAGGGCCACTACGCAGAGAGCCGATGCTATGTAATAACCTTTGGAAAGAGAGAAACACAAGGCTTCCTGAGCCTGAGATGTTTCTTGGACCGTTGCTCATTTTCACAGAAACAGTATCAACAGTGATACTTACAAACAACTAAGGCCCAGGGGATGTGGCCTTCATCGTAGTGAGGAAGCAGCACCAGTTTGGGGATGAACAAGGTGTTGTAGAGCCAGATCCCAAACACCATGCTGATGCAGAGCCAGCCCATGGGATCCACTACAAAGTGAAGTCGAAGCTTCATTGCTACTGATGCTACGGGTCGCTGGATCCTCACTGTCTGCAGGAAACAAATGCAAGCCAGAGCAATTAGTAACCCTGTAGAGAGGGCTGTAAAATCTAACAATAATAACTCATTACATCAGACCTAAAACAGTTTTAGATGATTCTCCATGGACTCCTCACCTCCTAATGGTTCTAACTATCGTGTTAAAGGGTTTAGGCTTATAAACACATGAATAAATCCAGTTTCACTGACCCACCCAACCGTACCTTTGTTCTCACTGGGTCATTGACACCATTTGATCGACATGTAGCACCTTTCAGTGAGACTGTTTAACATGCAAAGCACAGAAACTGCAAAGCCGAACCTAAAAAAGTTCTTTCCAATGAAAAACAACTGTCTCTGGGCCTTTTTTAAACAACAGCTACAACCTTTTACATTCCAATAAGCAATAAAAACAAATAGAATAAAAGCTGATTTGAGGAACTAAGCCTGGTAGAAGAGGTGGAAGAAGCACAGGGGAATATGCTGGAGAAAGACCATACAGGGATTTAGCTAAAAAGTGTAATGAAGACAGAAGATATGCGCTGATATTTATGGTTTCTAATGGGAACTTAAGCTGCTAAGAGATCCAAGATTTAATGTCTGAAAATTTATCGAAAGGGGAATTCAAGTGGGTTAAAAAGTAGATGCACCGATCCAGTTTTTTCCAAACTGATCGGCCGACACCCAACATAGATCCAATACTACTTTTAAAAGAATGAACCGTATACACTGCCAAGTGAGTAAAAGTATCATGATTGACATAGACACGGTTCAAAAAGGTAAAAACCTGACATGGATATAAACCATCACTAGCTACTGTGAATGCTCTGCACACTGAAGTCACTAGATCGCTTCACTATTGCTGTGAATATCAATAAAAAAAAAAGATTAACAGGATCAGAATGCCGGATTGGATTCATTTATCGGATATCCAATTCAGCTAATTGGCCAACGTCAACCACCGGTGCCGTAAACAAACCCAAAAATGTGCACCATAAATACACATTTAATCATTTCATCATTCTTCTTCACCTTCACTAGATATGGATACTCTTTAGTATATTCTGCTGTAAAATGAGTCTTATCGGGCTAGCTCGAGTTTCACAGCCCCCCTCCTCACCCACGCTCTCTCCATTCATCTCCTGGTTGCAATCTTCACTCACTGCAACAACAACGTTCACCGGTTCTTTGAAAGAACGTGTTTATTCTATGTAGTTTTTTTCGTTCTTCCAGCAGCTCTTCTTTCCTTTTTCTTTACTGGAATCCGCTTAAGTACCTCTTTTTGGTATCCATTGTCGCTAACACATTGTACGTAACAGTTATGGTTTTAATCTACGCTCTGGATTACCCATAATTCCAAGTCGTAGTGTAAAAAATAAAATACTCAAATACATCATTCTTTTAAGATCTTTATTGCGCTTTGAAAAATACTATAGGAGTGTATTTTCTACCAACCGTCTAATGAACTATACACAGTAATTAACATAGTAATTAAAAGTACCACTGTCTGCTTTGCTATTGGTGTAGTGTTTAAATGGCTCACTGTTGAAATCTGGCAAGTGTTGCGGTATAAATACGGTCCAGTCAGTCAAACTGGTAGCAGGTGGGTTTAAGACAAACTTTTCACACCATTACATCTGCAAAGAGACATCCTAGTCCACAATTAAATAGGGGGCCAACCAGGGCCTGTTAGGAATCCAGTTTGTGTGGGTTGTTTGTGTGTTTCTTCTCTCTCCACCACCAGGTGGTGCCCTGTCCTCGTTGGGCCTCCCTGCACACCTGCGGCTCGTTGGTTTATTACTGGAGGAGTATTTGAGCAGTGGGCTGTCACTACCTCGATGCCAGAGTGTTTGCCAATATTGGGTACTCTAGCCAAGTTGAGATTAGCAGAGTCTAACCTAGCTTTGTTTCTCTGAGTCTTATGTGTTTTTGTCTTTGCTCTTCGGCAGGAAGCCTACCTGTGAAAACTGGATACCTGGACCTTCTTCCCCTGGAAGGAATTACTGAGTACACACTGAGCAGGGGAAAACCACAGCATGATCCGTTCAAGTCCCCATCGGAAATCCAAGTGACAGTCCGTGCCATTACTCCTCTGGGTCCAACGTATGTCTACCTGTCCGCTTTCCAACGAGTTCCCTCTTCTCTGGATAATCCCACACAGACTGGATTCAAGGATTGATAAGAAACCACTCAAACGTGAGTCCCGCTCCAGCTTTATTCAGGTCTCAGTCAAATTTCCCATGGTCCCTGAACTGATCACTGTGGTCTCCCCTTCAGACCTTCCAGTTCCAGTTCACCAGCCTTCTGAGTTCCAGATCCTATTCCTGTACACATTACATCAAATACACCTGTTTACCTTTTCCCCATGTACTCTGAGTGGTTTCTCTGCATGTGGGTCAGATTCCTTAAACCGATCATGACAGGGCACCTAAGAGGTTGGCGGCCCCTAAGCAACTGCAGTCTCTGCTTACTGATATTTACGCCATTGGCTGCTCGCATATATCAGAATCAGAATCAGAAATACTTTAATAATTCAAGAGGGAAATTACTTTAGTTACACGCTCCAGTCACAGTTTTAGAGCGAGAGACAAAGAAATTATATTTAAGACTTTTTCCTTGAGATTGTTAGAATAATTAAATAAAATTCATTAATCAAAACTAGCTAATTAAAAGCTAGTATTTACCACATTTTGAATACATATATATATATATATATACTAATTTATTCTGAATTTAAAGACCAGCTGTAACACGTTGGAGAGCCCTGACATCACTCATTTATAACATGTTATTATACCTATTGGCTTCAAAATATTTAATAAACCGCTGTGCGGCCACCAGACGTGTTACCTTCATCTATTATTTCTAAATAAATATAAATAAATAAATAATGGCAGGCGTCCAATAAAAGAGTAGCTGTAAGGGATGCCAAAGAGGGGGTTACAAATCCAGCATAATGTAAAAACCATAGCAGAGGCATGGAATAACAGCCTTATGATACCTCAACCATTAGTTAAATGTGAATAAACCGGATTTGTAACCGTAAATCAGGTTTGTAGCCTCGCCTGCTCCATCATCATTCATGTTGATAACACCTGACAGCCGCGATGGGCTGGGCTCCATACAGCCTCAGCAATATCAGCTAACACCAGCCTGTTTTTATTCAGTCAGGATGCTTTAAGAAAAAAATGATTAAATACATACATTTTTGATTATATTATTACATAAAGCGAAATACGACTTACTTGTTTGGGTTTTTTTTTTTTTTTTACGTCGCCCTGAGGAGCGCACGTAGAGTCTACTTCCTCTTCCGACCCTCGGTGTTTCGGACAGGAAGTTGGTTACCTGCAAAAATAAAACTGCTTCCGGTGACTCGGATTTAGGAAAATAAAAGTATCGTGTGATTTTAAAAGTAATTCCATGCAGGTGTAAAATGTTTTTTGTGTGCGTATTTATTTTTTTAAGCCGTATATATATTTCTTCATTTATTTTTGTTTTGTTTGATGTCTTTGTTTCTTGGTAACCTTTTTCGTCTTTGTATGGGTGATTTACAGCCCATCTCAGTGTCTTCTCACTCTCACTCCATATTCACAATTTCTCAAACTTAAAAAATTACAGACATTAAAACTCAACTCAGTCTAGTTTAATAATCTCCCGTTGGAATTTAGGAGTAATTAAACCAACACAAATATTTTAATTCTTAAAGCTTCCAGGTTTCCCTATCAAACCCATAGGAGGTCCACAAAAAGAAAAAGAACCACTGCATTTTATTTTTCAGAAGATCAGCCAAAGAAAAGACCAACCACATTCGAAGAGGATGTGCAGAGCAACTAATTTATCCTGGATTCATAGAGGAGAAACCACAGGGACTTCCTCCTTTTATTATTACTTATCTTATTCATTTATTTTTATTTTAGTCCATTGAATATCTTTAAAAACTTAACCATCACATTTACCTAACTGAAAAATAAAAAGAGAAGTGCTGTCTCCTGTCATGGTGAGTTTTTATAAAATCCACAGCCTCTTAGAAAAATCTGAATTGTTTAGCCGTTTTGTCAATTGTAAGAATTAGCTAGACAAACATTTAGCAGATTTTATACAAATAATAAAGCATCTACTGCTTTGAAACCTGTAGTCTAAACTAAAATGACAGGTATCCATAGTTAATTCAAGTGGTAAAAATAAATAAAATTAATTTATTAGTTTTATTTTGAAAGGCCAAATAATTGGTATTTCATGACGTAATTCCTCTTCCGGAATCATTGGCGGCGGATGTTGACAGCGACACCGCTTAGCTGTAAACGTTGGTGTTTGGGTTTCGTTTCTTGTTGTTGTGCTTAAAAGAATATGGCATCATCGAACTCCTTTAAACTCAGATGCTCCATCCCGGGCCATGAAATGGACGTAAGAGGACTGGCAGCCGCGGTTTTCCCAGAGGGAGCTTTCGTGTCCGTGTCCAGAGACCGAACCGGAAGGGTTTGGGTACCGAACTCCAGGTAGCTAGCATTAGCACTTAGCCTCCACCTGACTAACTATACTGCCAAGTTAACACTTTACGACCCTTATCGTGTCATGGTAGGGCCAGGGATTGTTTCGAGACTTGTAAACTGCATTAAAATAATTGCCGCATTGAAGCATCCACACCATCACACTATTTTATCAGACCGTTGTTGGAACAACCGTTAGCTCGGAGGCTAACGGTTGTTCAAATTAGCTTTGTCATTCATTCGCAGCACCTGTCTGGTTTCTAAGTAACGATAGCGAAGTTTGGTGATTCCCTGGGTGATTCCAAGCTTTAAAGAGTAGTAATGGAGAATGTGTTTTTTTTCTGCTTATCTTATTAATATGCATTTAAAAAAAAAAAGAAATGAGTCTGGGTAAAGGCTCCCTAAACTTAAAGTTCCGTGAGTTTGGTTCCGTACCTCTAATATCCGATTTTATTTGTTTCCAATCTTATAGACATTTGTTTCCTAATTTATTACAAACAAAATTTGGATGATAAGAGGTTATACTTTTAGGATAAGGTGATTAAATATTTAACGGCTATACATCATTTACAAATTAAAAACAAAAAACATTTGTTGTTCCAAACATTTAATTTATTTAAAGAAATGGGACTCTCCTTTTTTATACATAGGCCTATTAAATTGTCATTTTAGAGTGTCCTTTTATAGTTGGCGGCTTGATGCACATCTGTGCAATAATCTTACTGTCTAATCAGCATATTGATATGCCACACCTAGGAGATTACTGCCTTATCTCTGCAAAGTGCTCGTTAACGCGGATTTAGATGATATTTAAGGGAAATGCGGCCGCTGTGTACATAGAAGTCTTCAGACTTTCCTATTGACTTTTGTGAAATTGTAGCAACAAAAAATTGCTGCATTTATGTTTTGATCAGTGTATAAAGAAATATGATACCTTTAATATTCATTAAAATTGCATTAAAAATATGTGATGGACCCAAACAAAGTGACTTGTATTGTAAATTGAATGAGAATTTAAACACAGTTTTCTTTATTTCATGTATCTGAAAGTCTTTTAAGTGTTGCTTGTATCTATATTCACCCCCCCTCTCTTTGATTTGCTTAAAAATACAGAAATCTGTGGAACCAAATGCCTTCGGACCTTACATGATTAGGGCTGGGTATTTTCGCCAAAGTCCTGAATCGATTCGATTTTGATTCATACAGTTTTAAGTCGTTTATTTTCGATTCCATCTGTTTTTACAATAATGAAAGTGGTTCAACTGTGTTTCAAAATACTCATGTATTTTATTTTTTCCTGTCATATTAAACACAAAGTGAAAACTTGTAAATCAGACAGTTTAAACGTGAGATGTGAACAAAACTGTCTCAAAAGTGCAAACTTGATTTTGAAAAGTGAAAAAGCCTCACTTGAGCAAACAGACGTGACACAGCAGACATGCATGAGCTGCATTATCTCCACTGTGCAAACCATATTTGCAGCATTGTCTGTAACAACTACAGGGTGTTTGCTGGTCAGCCTCCATTTGTTAATATCTTCAATCAACCTATTGGCTATATTTGCAGCTGTCTGGCTTGAAGTATTTTGAGTGCACCTTTCCTGCTCATTGGAATGTGAACGTCATGCACTTCACTATAAAACTAATCGATCTCACTTCCTAGACATCGATTTTGCAAAAAGGAAAAAAAGGAATCAACTCTAAATTGATTAAATAGATTTTTTTTTTTACCCAGCCCTATACATGACTATTAATTTGAGCACACTGGTGTTTAACTGACTCTCAGTATGAATCCTGTGGAGGCCCCAGAGATCCGTTAGAGAACATTGGTGACAAACGGCACCTTGAAGGCCAAAGAACACAGCAGAAAAGCAGTCTTTAATTCAAACTCCACATGCTAAAATGTGTTTCAGTGTGCTCAGTGTAATGGTCTCCCATTTTTTGCACAGTTTGTTGTCCGTGTTTATTGCTCTATCATGAAAGAAAATGTGCAAATCCCTCTTAATGTTTTAGTTCAACAGATCCATTGGTCAACCTCTAGAGAAGTGCTTGTTCAGATTATCTAGAATGCATATGTTTTCATGAGGATTATGTGATTTGTGTTTTTTTTTTATTGTTGGTGCTAATAGTCCTGTAATCGGATTTACTAACTACATCTTTGCTTTCTGTCTTCTCTGCTCAACAGCCCAGATAACGGATTCACTGAGATGCATTGTATGACTGGACACTCAAATTTTGTATCCTGCGTATGCGTCATTGCGCCCAATGATACATATCCCAGGGGCCTGATTGCCACTGGTGGGAATGATAACAACATTTGTGTTTTTACTCTGGACAAGCCACAGCCCCTCTACACCCTGCAGGGTCACAAAAATACAGGCAAGTTCTTGATAATTCGTTTGCAATTAACCAAGATGACAGTGCATCTGAATTAACCTGGTAATGCTTTTTTCTTTTTTTTTTTCAGTATGCACTTTGTCCTCTGGGAAATTTGGAACCCTTTTAAGTGGCTCCTGGGACACAACAGCCAAAGTCTGGCTCAATGAGAAGTGCATGATGACTTTGCAGGTTTGCTGAAGCTTCGTTATTTGTTCATTTGCTCTCCTGAACCGCAGTTTTAACAGGGTCACTTTTCTCATTTATATATTAGTGTTAATTTTTGTTTGTTTGATCTGTATCACTTTCCGCGAACCTTTTCTAACATTTCACATTATAAGATAAGAATTAAAAGTATGTATGACTCATGTTGATTTTGTATCAGGTTAATATTTGCATCAGTCAATTCCCAAAGCAGCAGTGTCGATGTCATATCAGAGATCGTAGTGGCAATCCTAGTCTGTCTTAAACTACAACTTCAGGTCAATACAATTGTTCCTTAGATGGAGTATACTGACTCTAAAATGGGCCATTTACCTTAAGATGACCCACACAGGGCAGGAATTAATTTGAAACTGTACAAAAATATACAAATTTAGCATTTAAAGTTGAAAGAACTGTTGATAGTACCCTCTGAAAGTTAATAGATCCAAAGTTTTGTTCAATATGCTGACAGGACTTATTCTGTTCTTGCTGCTTTTAATTCAGGGACACACTGCAGCTGTGTGGGCAGTCATCATCCTACCTGAACAAGGCCTCATGCTTTCTGGATCAGCAGATAAGACCATAAAGCTTTGGAAGGCTGGCCGATGTGAGAAGACGTTTACAGGTGAGTCCTTTTTATGTAGTTTCAGGATGTGAGCATATGTGTGCACAGCCAGCTTTGTTCAATCTCGTACTTGCCTTCTTCCAATTATCTGGGACCAGACCACAGAAGCAGCGTCTTAGTAGAGATGCTCAGACCTCCTTTACCTCACACCTCCTTTCCGTGAAGCCTGACATGTTCCAGGGTCAGCTGAGAGACATTGGCTGCCTTTAAATACTTCAAATTATAACTCCTACCCCCTTTGCTAAGCTCCTATTTGTTCACCGTGGACATAGTCTATGATAAGAACCCTATCCAGAGAAGGAAAGGCACTCCAGACTGCTGTGGCGAATCTGGACAGCCTTCAGACTTGCAGATGTCAGTATGTTACGAATATACAAGAATGGTGCTAGCTAAACTGGGACTACAGCCTTCCTGGAAATAATAAAAAATAAAACCAAAAGTTATTCAACTGTAGTAATGACCAAATATCTTCATTATAAAACCAAAATATGTGAAGCTGCATTCATTTGTGTCACTCAGAGTGTAAGTTACCAAATAATGTGTTGTTTTTCTTTTAAACTGTGAGGTGCGCTGTACCTATACGTCTTGTTAGACAAAAGATTGGGCCACTTTGTTGCTCCTATATGGCGGATATGAACATTTGTTAGTCCCCTTGTTTGTAAGCTTTTGATAAGGGTTATCCTACTTCAACACCTTCATTACTGCTAGTTCTATTAGGACGGCGCTTTTGGTGACTGCTGACACAGTTCCGCTTTGGCTTTTGGTGATTTCCACCATTGGAATCCATTGTATCCTGTTCTGTCCCCTGGTGCTCCTCCTGTGATGTGTCAGGATCACCTCCTGAGTGGAGCGTACAGGGAGCATCTAAAGCAGATGTCAGAGCTACCTGAGCTGACAGCTGGATGTCTGAGCTCCTGAGCTTTCTCTGAGGTAGTTTCCAGCCATCCATTGACCGAAGATAATTTCGGCCACTTGTATCCAGGATTTCCTTCATTGGGTCTTGATCCAGATTTCATGAGCATAGAGGAGGGTAGGAACAGACGGACCTGGATGCATCATTAGTGTTATCGGATGCAAATCCAATGCCTGCAGACTTTTTTCCAAAACCTTACTTCAACTGACGGCTGTAAGGCATCTCTAGCAGAAGCCACGCAGCTCCGTCTATCGATCTCCTTCTCCTTTCTTCCCTCACTGACCAGGGACCCCACTTTAACTCCTCTTCTTGCAACTCTCCTCCAACTGAAGGGGACAGGCCACCTTTTTCCAGAAAAATTGCCTCAGATGAGCCGACCTTCATCCCAGCCGCTTCACGCTCTGCTGCAAAATGCATATCTTGTATGTCTGGGTAGTAGGAAGCCAGTGGAGTCGCATCTGCTGAAAGCAGGGAAAAAGTTTACCAAACCACTGACCCTTTGCTTCATCTGAAATCACGTCCATAAAAGTTATGAAAATGACCGGTGACAGAGGACAGCCCTGCAGGAGTCCAACATGCACTGGGAGCGGGTCTGACTTAATGCCGGCAATATGGACCAGACTCCCGCTTCCAGGGGCGTTTAAGCCATCGCCTCTGGAAGGATCTGGGCACTGAAATCCGTACAACACGTCAAGGTGGCGGTTCAAAAAGGGAACCGTATCCTCTGTTGCAGAGTTGGCTGTACATGCACATGCACATGTGTGTACATTATTATTTAAAGTAAAGAAAAAAAATGCAGGTTGGGTTAGTACTATATACATCTTTTTTTTCACTTTAGGTCATGAGGATTGCGTGCGAGGACTGGCTGTGATTAGCAACACAGAGTTCTTCTCCTGCAGCAACGACACAAGCATCAGAAGGTGGCTGGTGACAGGCGAATGTGTGCAGGTCTACTACAGTCATACCAACTACATCTACAGCCTAGCTGTCTTCCCTAATGGCCAAGGTTTGTTCACTATGCTCATTTTAAAGTTAGCTTCATGCGGCCCTTTAGAAATGCTTTTTATTAAATCAGATTCAAATGATTATGTGATTAGATTTTTAAAGTGTCGAATTAACACAAAATCTTATCTAAGGCACTTCCATAGAATGACAAATTCTATGGAATCCAATTCAGTGCAATCACATCATTAGTGTTACAAAGATTACATATATACCATTTACGTACAAACTGGCCTTAATTTATACTCCCTATGTCTGGACTAATTGAGATTCTAAGAAGCTATACAAACTCAGGCAATTTCCTTTTGTGATTGTTTTTGAAGCAATCTGTTATTTTGATAAATCATGTGGAAATAGTAGAGCGGGAAGACTCCCCTCTAACAGGAATACACCTCCAGCAGAAACCAGCCTCAGTTTGAACAGAAAGAATATACCAAGTACCGTAATGACCCGAATATAAGACGACCCTGATTATAAGATGACTCCCTCTTTCCAGAACCAGTTTTTAGAAAATAAAACAAAAGGAAAAAAAGACTATTTCTATAAACTATTTTATATTGAAGTGCTAACAATTTAATTGATATTAATATTACATTGAAAGATTTCTGCAATTAAAGACAGATTTAATTGAAATCTGGCAACACTTCAACTCAAATGCAATCTGAACTTTACCCCCGGAATGTCTCAAAAACCTGCATGAGGCTTTTAATCATAAACGTCCTCTGCCTCGCTGAGAGTCCTACTCTAAACCTGCAGTTCTGCAATTTTTGATAAGATTTTCTTTTGCTGTTTGCATTTTTTCTGTCTTTTTGAATGTACCATCTTCTGACATTACACTCTGTAACTCTGTGTTTCTTTGCTACCTGAGAGTTGTTTGTCTCTGCTGCATTGACCACCATTATTTTAAAATTGGCATCATAACTCGGCCTCAAAAGTCTGCAGACTTTTCTGACTCTTGATCCACTCCATTCTGGACAGAGACTATCCATTTGTAGCATTCTTGTCCCTTCTTCTCTATCATGATAAAAAAAATAACCCCAGCCACAGTGAGCTTACTGGCTTTAAAAAAAAAAAAAAAAATGGCGCCCTCTGCTGTTGCATTCGTTTAGTGACCCCAGGCAACTGTCAGCCTGTATAATTGGGTAGAACCCGAATAAAAGACAACCCCACATTTTCACACCGTTTTTAACAAAAAAATATTATATTCGGGTCAATATGATATATCGAATGTGTTGTTATTCTGTGTTGAACAGAGAAACGGCTAAAAACAGATAACGTGATTAGCAAAGAGGGAAACAAGGGTCCAGCAGTAGGTTTGTAAGTGGTTCTTTCTAGATATGAGAAATAAATAAACCAGAAGTTATCTACATGAAAATGTGTCGCCTATATGACAGGGTTCCCGCGGGTCCTTAAAAAGTCTTAAAAGTCATTGAATTCCTCAAAATAAAACTAAGGCCTTAATTGGTATTAAAATGTCTTAAATCAGTCTTTTGTAGGTCTTAATTTTTAAACATCATAAATAGGATTATTTTTATTATGATTTAATTTTGTAATCTAAATGAAACATTACATTTGAAATTTTTTTTATATATATAAAAAGAAAAGAAAAAAAACGTCTTGCCATTATTGGTTCCGTCCCGATAGCGGAACCAATAAAAGCGTTGATGTGGCCGGGACATTTGGGAGATTCGCCATTCACTTTTTGTCTGGAAAATATGAGCAAGTGTAAATGTAACGAAAATTAGTTATCCAGCCAAGAGTTTTCTCCACGGTTAAGTGGCATTAAAAAGTCTTGAATTTAACTTGCCTTATGCTGTAGAAACCCTGTATGATGTTTTTCTGTCTCAGACTTTATAAGTACGGGAGAGGACAGGACTTTGAGGATATGGAGGAAAGGGGAATGTTGTCAGACCATCCGCCTCCCTGCCCAGTCAGTCTGGTGCTGCTGTATTCTACCCAACGGGGATATAGCTGTAGGAGCCAGGTAATGCAAATCCACTCCCCATCAGCGCCCTCAGAGTGTTTTCTCTTGTACCACTCATCTGTTTTATTTAAAATCTTAGCGATGGCATCATTCGCATCTTTACGGAAGCCGAGGATCGTATGGCCAGCGCCCAAGATCTACAGGCCTTTGAGGACGAGCTCTCCAAAGCTACCATAGACCCTAAGACAGGAGACCTTGGGGACATCAAACTGGAGGACCTGCCTGGGAGAGAACATCTCGACGAACCTGGTAATTACATTTTTATCAGATCCCATCTGTATATATTTCGGTGTCTTTTTCAGGTTAATGTTGCTTTATTCTTGTGCAGGGAATCGGGACGGGCAGACCCGTTTGATCAAAGATGGAGAGAAGGTGGAGGCTTATCAGTGGAGCGTCGGCGACGGCCGCTGGATGAAAATCGGGGACGTGGTTGGAGGCTCGAACCAACAGACCTCTAAGAGTGTGGTGTATGAAGGAAAGGTAAGACGACAAGCTCGGTGCTGTTAAGAGGATTGCTGCATCAGAACCTCGGCTAAGGCGTCATTATCTGGTTCAGGAGTACGATTACGTCTTCACCATCGACGTGAACGAGGGAGGTCCATCCATGAAGCTGCCTTACAACGTGACAGACGACCCCTGGCTGACCGCCCACAACTTCCTCCAGAAAAATGACCTCAGCCCCATGTTCCTCGATCAAGTTGCTAATTTTATAATTGAGAACACTAAAGGACATGTCGTCGGTCCTGCTCAGCCCAGTGGTGGTGATCCGTTTACAGGTGAGGCCGTTGTTTAGAACTGGAGCTCAGTCACTCTTAGTTTGTCGCTATTACACAAGATTCACATAAAACAGTTTATGTCAGGAAGTTCTATCTCTAAATCTTTGCTGGTTCTTCAAATAGTTCTCAGAGTTAACTCTCAATACAGACATCTGTAATTATAAGTTGTTTATGTATTTTTTTTTAACAGGAGGATCTCGATATGTTCCCGGTTCGTCTAACGACAGCTCTGACTCTGCAGCAGATCCTTTCACAGGTCAGACTCTAAACTAATGGGCCATCCACAACATGAGGGATTATGCTTCCACAGGCTTATTTTTCTTCTTGCGCAGGCGCTGGTCGCTACATCCCAGGATCCAGTTCCAACGTAGGCACTCCTTCAGGTGTGGCTGATCCGTTTACCGGTGAGTTCACCAAGTTTGCGACTTGATTCAACCTCACTTGCCTGAGATCTGCTGAACAGAACTTGTGAATGGTCCCTCAAACTCGCTTTAGGATGAGAGGTGATAGGTCCCTCCAAGCTGTGGCACCCAAACAGTTGAATGCACTACTACTTTCCCTACGCTTGGGGTTTAAAAAACAACTAAAAACATAATTTTTTTAACCAAGCATTTTAGACAAATTCTATCCAGGGCTGCTATCATTTTATGTATTTTGTTTACATGTATTTTAAATGGTGCTGCTTTGTTTTCTATGCCTCTTATTGTACAGCTTTTTGTGACGCTTGTCTGAGAAAGATGCTATATAAATAAAACGTACTTATTCTGTATCACCCTTCTGAAATAAAAATAGAACATTATTTATCTAACAATAGAGAAATTCACTCTCTACATTTAACCCATCCCTTTGGGGAGCAGGGGGCTGCCATTTTGCAGCACCCAGGGAGCAGTGTGGGGTTGCAACTTCTTGCAACTTCTTAAAGCACAAGCGCACTGCTCTAACCATTCGACCAACACTATCCCCACTTTTGTTCACTAAGAAACAATATTTAAGTTTTTTTGTTCAAGCATTTGATACTGCATAGCACTTCTCAGCATTGGACCACCGTGGTCTACTTTATGTCGGTTGTCTTGTTTGCATGCAGTGACAGATTGCAGAAAAGTTAAAGGGTTATTGTGGGTGTAGCTCTTACTGGATTCATCTCTCTCCAATGCAGGAAAAGGTGCCTACTCTTCTGCAGCCCAGAGACAGACCTCCACTAACATCTACTTCCCTAAAACTGACGGTGTGACCTTTGAACAAGCCAACGCCCCTCAGATCATAGGTTAGTTAACTAAATACAGATGTAAAGATGTTTCATCTTTTTGGCTTGTTTTTTCTTTAAGATTCTGTTTTCAATGTGAGTGAAGTCCAAAGTTAAATTACTATTACTACTTATTTTTTTTGGCTGCATTTAGATTATTTTTATGGAATATTTTAGTTGCATGGCAGGTAGCTGAAACTTTTTAATCTATACTAGCTAGTCAAACATGAATTAATTTAGATTTCAAGCTCAAAACGGTCTTCCAGAATTGACAAAACAAAAAAATGTTAAAAGATATATTTGTACCTTTTTAATAAGTCTTGTTAATCTTGCTGTTTCCTAAGCAAAGTTAAAGGAGCTGAATGAAGGTGCCCCTCAGGGACAAAGGCTTTCTGAGGAAACCATGGAAAGCCTGGAGAGCTTGTTGCTGGTGGTTTATGGGGCAAACTCACCTGAGCCTCCTCCATCCCTTCAGCAGATAAACCTCCTCTGGAAGGTCTGCCATTGGCCTGAAGGTACAGAAACACCATTGAGTTCTCTAATTTGTGGAAATTAAGGTTTTGTATTTTTCTTTTAGATTAAACATTAATAAACTTCTATTCTGATTCTATTGTTATTTATTTATTTATTTATTTTTTGCATTGTAGATATTGTTTTTCCTGTCCTGGACATCCTAAGGCTGGCAGTGCGCCACCCACAGGTTAACGAGAGCCTTTGCGGTGAGGCAGAAGGAGTCCAGCTGTGCAACCACCTGCTGAGCCTGATGAGGCCCGAGGGCCGCCCAGCCAACCAGCTGCTGGCGCTGCGCACTCTGTGCAACTGCTTCAGCGGCAGACACGGCCGGGCTCTCCTGATGTCGCAGCGTGAAACGGTGCTGTCTCGCGCTGCAGACCTGGCCGCTGTCTGCAATAAGAACATCCACATCGCCCTGGCCACTTTGTTGCTAAACTACGCGGGCTGCCTTCATAGCCAGCCTGACCTTGAGGCCAAGGCTCAGTGTCTGTCTGTGGCCAGCAGGGCTTTAGAGACGGTGCAGGACAAAGAGGCTATATTTAGGCTCCTGGTGGCCTTAGGAACCACTGTGGCTTCGGACCAGACGGCCCAGGACTTGGCACGCTCCCTGGGTGTCAGCTCTCAGATTTCCAAATATTCCACTGTGTCTGAGCCGTTGAAGGTGGGGGAGTGCTGCCGGCTGGTTTTAAAAGAACTACACTGATGTTAATAATTAGAGATAATAAGACGAGCACTTCTTTCTAATTCTCCGTTCTCCTTCTACAGTCTGATTAAGACAGAAATATTACACTTGTATTGTCTGCAATAAAAAAACATCTTTCTCTATGCTTAGCCTGAGTTTTATGCTGCATCTGTTATATTTATAGAATAAGAGATAAAATAATTTTAAGTTAAAATATCAAGCTACCTATATCCTGCTAAATTTTAACTTTGATCACACATGCATGCAGCTTTTTATTGGAGCTGAAGCCCACTGGAGGTTTTGATTGCTTCCAATTTATTCATTTTTCTATTGTAGTGTTTGACTAGCTGTAATGAGATGAAGAGCATTGCACTTTTTAAACAGATTTTTTTTTATGTTAAAGATGGGCTCATTATAGAGGTACAGTGTTAAGCCTCAAATGTGTGATCTTTGAAAATTTAATTACGTATAACATATCAGAAGATCCTGTCTTTATCTCAGCATAAGAGGAACTCCAGTGCTGCACTGAGGAGGTTTGTAAAAGGATTGGTGAATTGCTTTTAAGTTGAAAGTTGACTCAGGAATCTGTTCTGGATAAGAGTCCCATTTATGACATACGAGATTTTTAGTTGTAATCAGTATGCCACAGAGCTAGGAGAACATTTCTAAATGCTGCTGTAAAAGGAATCCCTTTTTTCTTGAAGATCTCATCCAACCTTACTTGTACGTCTTTAAACTAAATCTGAGATAAAATCCAAACCGAGGAACTGGGAGTTTAAATCAACACCTCCAAGTTTGAGATGAGAGTCCAAAAAATGACATGCTGGCATTTTTGGCGCCTCTTCGTAGACTTGAAAGAAAGCCTCACTACTAAAATCTACAAAAAAAAGAATCTATTACAAAAAGCTAGAATACATTCAGTCTGCAGAAATCTGAAGCTTGGAGCCAAACACCTCACCATTACATGAAACGGGTGGTTTTGAGTAAAGCATGAGATTTAATCAGTGTTAAGCAAAAAGCAGGCAGAAATGTAAAAAGGCCAGGCAGAAATAAATAGCGGCAAAGAAATAACTAGGGTAAAAAAATACAAAGGAAGAACAAAACAGACAATAATATTATAACATGCACATAAATACTTAAAAATATAAGTAATTAAAAAATAAAGTTGAAGATTATAAAGGACAAAAAAAATAAGGTAAATATTACAAAGGCAAATAAAGAAGCTAATTAAAATAGTTATATACATTTATGTCTCACTGTATAATTTAATTTCTACTTACATTTTTTTGTTTATTGTATTTTTGGTGGCAATTAATTGTATGCTTATTTATTTATTGAGCATTTATTTATTTCTGTATTTATTTTTAAATATGGCAGAGTTGGTCCTATATACATACATATACAAGATGTTGGCATTGTTGGGGACAAGTTTTGATCATTTGTTGGAAATGATCTGAAACTGAAACCAAATGAAGAGAAGGCCCCCTGTCTAAAGGGAAATGGACGATAGAGGGCAAGAATATCCTTGTGTCAATGGATTCTAACCAAGCTTCAGGCCTAGTTAATCCCACAGTTTGAGTACAATCTATTGGCCTATAGCTAAAATAGCTTTAGGGAGTTTGATGAATACATATGAACTTTTTTTGTGTTTTATAAAGGAACAGGTGAGACAGAAAAACACACATACCTGCCCTCATTACAAGAGGAAACAATAAGGAACTTACAAAAGAAATGCTGTCTTGTGAGGGGTTTTTTTTTGTAACTAATGTAAATCTCTAATATTCGTTTTTCATACTTTCCTTACAACCCTGTTTGGATGTGGTACAAGAAAAACACATTTCAAGGTTTTTTTAATAGATGGCTACAATATCCTAGGTTTCCTAAATATCTACTTCTAAAGTTATGAAATAATGGACATAAAGGGCACGCTCGGATTTAGTTTTAATACTGAATAAATCATGATTTTATTTTTTTTTTAGTTGCCACTCGTACAAATTCGACTTATTGATATATGCCGAGGATACCTTTATGCTTTTATTTTGGAAACAGTCACCACCGGAAGTGATTATAAACAACATCCGGGTTGTTTTTGGAAAAATTGGCGGTTGTTGTTCTTGCTGATCTCATTTTCCTGTTACTGTCCGAGAGATATTGAAACCAATTAGCCTTTAGATGTTTTTAAGTAGCTATGACCTTACAGGATAATAATCGATGGTGTTTCTGCCTTTTATTTTCATTCTGATGTTATTGATACATGTTTTTAACCACCCTTCCAGGAGCTACTGTGGGAGTAAAGGTTGAAGTTAGAGCTAGCTAGCAGGGCAGCTAACTCCGGCTAGCTAGTGCTGGAAGACAAAGCTGGGATTCTTGTGGTTTTTAGTAATGGCGAATCAGAACCTGCTTCAGAAGAAAATCGGACAGAATCTGTGGTTTGCCCTCCTGGGTCTGGGCTTCCAACCTGAATCTGCGGCTGGATCACTGGCAGGCAAAGCCAACACCAAATACCTCTGCCTTGGACCGTAAGTTTATTGTTGATGATTTAGCACAACCTAAACTCTTAAAACATCTCCGTTTATTACCTTTATTAATGTTTTGGCCTAAATAAATCTTTACGATTACAATCTCCTGGATTTCTGCATGAGGTGTGTTTACTTTATATTCAGATGATCTAATAAAGAGCTACTTTTCCTTTTATTTACAAATCAACAGTCTACTTGGATTAAAGATGGACTGCTTTTTGGAAAAGACTTATATTAAGTCTACATAGATGCTTTTAAATTTTCACCAGATTGGGTTAGCATCTGCATATAAGTCTTTGTTTTTATACTACTTTTATAATCCAGGACAGATTTATTCTTAACATTAGGATAATTATCACCATATCATTTTGTTTACATGTCGGAAGAATGGTTGCAGCCCTACTTTTTAGGTGTAGAGCAAATTAGATTCCATAAGTGTCTTCCCCACTGCTGAATGTTGAGTAAAATGGGTTATTTTATTTGTACAAATTATGTTCGAACTGTAAATATACAGTCATATGTTTAGATTACAATTTTTTTTAATGTTTTTATTGCTGTTTTCAATGCTGCACTTTAAAGAATTGTCTAGAGCTGTTTTAATTTCTTAAAATTTCTTTTTGTTTACACTTGTGTATACACAATGACTAAATAAATCTAAGTCTAGATAGAAATTTGCTTTAATATGAGGACATAATACTTTTTTGAGGACATAATCTCATGCAAAATGAAATCAGTTGGACAGAAATAGTTTCATGGCCAAAAGACATTTGAAGGGCTTTTGAGATTTGGGAAAAGAGGGGAAAATATTGATGTTTTGTTTTATGTGCTGGCAAACCTAAGTAGAGACCTGCCTAAAATCTAATCTGTGCTTCTCCTAAAAGTAAGTGTTTACTGTTTAAGATTATCTAAAATACCAAAGAAAATGAATCAATTTTATAAAGTAAACAGTCATCAAATCAGTCCAGGCTTAACATGTCTTGTTACTTTGGCTTTCAGACTAGGCTTAGTTTGGAATAATTACCTAAAAAACAGAATGAAAACCTTTTATTAAAGTAATGAATATGATGCTGATGGGTCTGGTTGTGTTTATTATGATCTTTTTTTCCTGATCAGGAATATGTTTGACAAACCAAACAAAGATGCCTTCTACTTGGTCACCCATTTCCTGTTGGAGAAACTGAATCCCTCTCGCTTTCATGAAGCATACAGGTAATGTCAGATCATGCGGTCGGTTATTAATATTCCTTCATTAAATGTTATGTGAACAAACATAATAATAATATTTTGCTTTAGGCACTGCTGGCCTGTTTTGGATCACAAAGCAGATGCTGAGTTTCGCAAGGTTACCTGTACCTGGCTGCGGGAAATCATGGTAGGATCTGTAGTTTTTCGTTTTCAGGAGAGCACATGAATTATGTTTTAACTGCTTTTTTGTTAACATTAAGGCTTGTATTACTTTGGTTATCATCGTGTCATTTTTATTCTTGATATGGGAGAAGAAAAAAGCAAAACCAGCCTAAAAAAAAAAAATTATATCAGGGACGGATTAGATCAGGGGTCTGCAACCTGCGGCTCTTAATAGTGGCCTAAAATGATATAAAGAGACAGTTATTGTAGTTGAGCAATGTAGAGCAGTCTGAGAAGCTTTATTTGGCTTAAAGAAATATATTTGATTAAATTCTTACAAGATAATAGCATTAAAATACAAAAAAAAATATGTTTTTACATCTACTTCTCTTGTTATCTTGGAAATTATGTTTTTGTTTGTTTTTTACATCAAATAAAACCCTGTGGAGGAAAATCTTTGCTTCAAAAAAGGTGTTATGCTTTCCTTATTTTAAAGCTAGAAATAAAAATAAACTGATGGCTGTTTATAATGGAAACATATTTCCTATTGCAGGTATTTAACAAATATGAATAATGGGTTGTGTTCTATTAAGAGGTCATAATCAGTCAACAAAATTTCAATATTTGTATCTCTAAACAGACAGACTAATTGCAAAATTGCTCTTTGAACCTCTAGTTTAGACCAATACCAAAATATTCTGCCTCAGCGTTAAAAGAAAAATCCTGAATTGATCAAATCTCTAATGATGACCCAACTCTTTTTCTTTCTTTTCAAGAAAAAAATATTTTTCTTTTTTTCCCTAATATAATCAAGCATTTCAATTAAGGGAATTATTTATGAAGCATTCAGCAGAATCTCCCTGTTGAAGCATTCAGCCCTGGTTTAAAAAAAAGTCGAATTTAAAATTGGGAACATTTAATCTTACTGTTTCATGATATTTCAAAGGGTTTTAATGTTTTAAATACAATTGAACTGTTAAAATAAGTCAAAGTAAGAAAGGTTTACTACTGGGGAATGGGGAATGGAAGTATTGTAATGTTTCCGTGACATTATCCCCACTAATTCCAACTCTGTGGGCCTTTCCATTTAATATTCCCTGCTGGGTGGTTGGAAATTCAGACATCGGTGTGAAAATGAAATGTACCACTGTCTTGCATGTTTTAGTTTCCCTGCTGATAGTTAAACGTTACACATGAAGGAATGGCTGAATGGCTGCTGAGGAAGTATTGTAATCACTTTAATCTTGTGTGATGGAGCCGAACTGCCTCTAAAGCATGCAGAACAATGGCACCGGAAGACCAGGATAGGAAACACTGGTATAGACCAATGAGAAGTTCTCAGAAGGCCTAGCTGGGTATATCTAATCAAAACTCATAAATCATGTCTGTGATATTCAGATTTCACTCTACATCAGGCTGAACTCTGTTCTGTAGGGATGGAAATGTATTCTGATTTCATTGCATACATGTTTCACACCATGCTCTGTGTGATTTCCTGCAGGATGAAACCGCCAACTCAGGATCTAAAGTGGTGATGTCATTGTTTCTATCCCCTGGTGGTCCCAAGTTCATCAACTTGATGCTTCAGTTAGCGTGCCATGTGATGCTGCAGGACATGAAAACTTTCACCACAGGTAGGGCCTCCGGAGAACTCTGTATCAGTGCTAATATGTCCTGAGACAATAAATCCTACAGGTTTACAGTTCATCACATCACATCTGTAGCAGAGCTGTATTCTAGAGTGACTTCCTGTCTTGTTGACAGATAAGAGTTGGGTTCCTGAAGCTGCAGCCATGCCTGCCTCCACCTTGGACATAGCAGTGGGAAGGCTAAACTTCGTCCGTTCCAGGTTTTTGAAGGCTGCGGTGGATCAGGATCGTTTTCTCCACGAGTACCAGAGACGAGCTCAGTAGGTCTTCGACGTGTGAAGTCGGCTGTTCTTGTGTTTTTTTCTTGTGTTCTTTTGTTTTTGCTATAAGGCCCTTTCCACACAAAGACGAATACAGAGTGTTATAGTTTGATTGAAGATGTTTTCGGACAATTGCAGAATTGCACCCAAAGCGCTGACAAATCCAGTGGGCATGTGAAAATGGTTGGTGATGTAGATAACGTCATTGGTGGCGAAGGGGGGAGATGTAGCTCAGATATGCACACTGAAACATGAAGCAGCTGTTTTCTCTCCCAAAACACGGGCTGCTGAAACGACAAAATACATTTTGTATTTATGATTAATTAGATATCATGGATGGGGCCAAAATTCACCTAGATTTACTTTTTGGCTGCATAAACAATGCAGGCCTACGTGTTAAATTTAAATCCGGTTGATTGTGTGGTCGTTCACATTTTCAAATATAAACGACTTATATTTGAACTCCTATTTGTACTGCATTCATACAACTAACCCTCAGATTCCACATCCTGCGCTCCAACCTGCTCACATAGGCCCTGCGGAGCACTTGCACAGCCATGTTAATCAATATGAACTGTTTCACATCCACCGCTACTCCTCTGCAGGCCCCCTTCCACTTACGTCTTCTCCGTCCTTCACCATCAAAATATGGAGCCGAGCTATTTTTGCTCCGCTCCGGCAAGGTCAAGATCCGCAATTGGAATCAGGAAAAAGGAAAAAGAACATAGAGAAGATCCAGTTTGTCAAAGAAAAATATGGTAACGACAGATCGGTAACTACAAATTAGAGCATAATTTTTATATATTCCCCAAAAATGAAGACAAGTCAAGTCAAGTCAGCTTTTATTGTCACTTTCTTCATATGTACAAGACATACAAGGGAAATGAAATTACGTTTTCTCTCTAGAAATATACAAGACTGACATTTACAGACTGACATAAAGTGCGCGACATGACAGGTAACAGTGATAAGATAAATATAAAGTATAGACATTACAATAAAAGCAATAAAACAGCAGCAATAGTATATTCCAGGCTGAGGTAGTGCAGGTAAGGTGCAGTCCCTGGTACAGTGTGTGTGTGTGTGTGTGTATGTATGAGACTGTTTAATTAAATTATTTGATGCAAACTATTGGTATTTCAACATAACAGGAAGCAGATTTCTCATCTTTACCAAAATATGTATTTAATACTTAGAGGCTTAAAAGTTTGATCAAATCCAGTCCCAACAACTTTCAAGAGCGCCTTTCACAAATTCATAACAAACTTCTTATCACAGGCATTGATGAAGAGATGCTGAGTTTGCAATTAGAGAACAAATCAATTTTGTATGATCCTAATAAAAACCCACAGGGAAAAGAAAAAATGTTTGGGCAGAAACGTGTGTGATTGATGTTGATGGTGAGTTTTAATTATGTCATATTAAATTAAGCATTAATTTTTTGCTCCTAGTCCGGAGCAAGACTGGAGGAACCGTGGAGGCTGTAGGCTGAAATTTGCGCAGGTGTTCTGGAACGGGGCGGGGCGGTTACCGAGGACGTTGGATTCGGGGTTAGGTGTTCCACATGCCCAGTAGGATGAGCAGTACGCAGAATAGTGTTCTTTGTTGAGTATTAATGACAAACAGGTCGGATGAATGTGACCTGGCCGTACAGACTGTGGTTACATTTGAAAAGATTAGTGGCCATATTTATCATCAGTGGATTGAGCCAATAAGTTAAAAGCTGGACAAAAAGTTAATTATCGAGTGTTTTACTCACACTTTTACCTAAGTGGTGGATTAAATCTTCAGTGTGAATCTCAGAGCGAATTACGCCAGCACTTGGTGCCATAAAGGGAATTTTAGATGATGTCATTTCTTAGTCTGTGGAGTTAACCAATCGCTGAATGGAACTTTTTTTTTTTTTTGATAGCTGCGATTACTCAGCCTCATTTACAAAATTGCACAATCTAAATATTGCAATCAAATCTGGTAGATCTACTAAAAACCCATAGTTAAAAAAAAGTCTCAGTATTGGAAAAAGTGGTAACGACAGCCTAAAGTAACCCAGATCAGATCTGGGTTACTTTAGGCTGTCGGGTGAATGTAGCCTGAAGTCTCCTGCCTCACCTGTTCCCTATGATTAAATTAGTCAGCCAGGAAACTGTGTAGCAGCTGAAAGGGCTTTCAGTCACCGACCACCACCCAGCTGCACCTTTACAGCACACATTAGACCCACCATCAGGAGAACGGAAGAGGAATCTTTGCAACCAACAGGAAACCTTTTATTCTTTAGCTTTATATTTGCTTCTGCTATTTATTTTATTATTATATTTGCATTTAAATCTTTTACATTTGATTGTATTTGTTTTATTTCTTTCTTTTCATTTAGGTCTCTGGTCAAGTCCATGAGAGACCTCAAAGCAGAGGGTGCCAAGTACGATCAGCTCCTAAAGTATGATTAACTTGTTTTTTTGTGTTTTTAGATGGATTTTAATTTTACTTGCTAATGTTCAGCATTCTTTACTTTCAGGTGTCACATTTCTCAAACTCCTCAGGATGCAGAATCTCTGTCTGAGAAGACAAGAAAGGTGCGTTATGTTCTACAATACTGAAGCATGTTGCTGCAAATGCTGCCTTTTTTTTTAAATCAAGTCGTTCCGTTACCACATGTTGCAGTGCAGCGATGGAGGCCAGTTTTCCAATAAATTGTTTCAGGAATAAGTCAAAATCAATGTAAAATTTGGAGAATTATCTTTTTCATCTAGTATTTATATTTATCTAATTGTACTTTCAGCATACGGTTAAAATGTCTTTGGACTGTATGAAAGACGCTGTTGTTTTCTCTCTCTCTGGTAAGGTTCGTGCTTTGTGGTCGGTCATTGAAGGAATGCTGTCTAATATCAAGGAGGACCTGACTGTGATAGAAAGTGTTTTAAAAGGCGACGTAGACCAGTACGTCCTGGACGGAACGGATCGAGTCCTCAAACTTCCTCCTTGTCTACTGGAGAGAATTGAACATCTTCCACATCGGGTGAGAACAAACCCAAACCCCAGCATCTGCTGCTTGTGGAACTTTGAACATTAGAGCAAAGTTTCCAGGGGGAAAACATGTGCAATTTGTGGGTTTGTTGTGTTTTTTTGTAAAGGGCATACAATGTACAGCCATATGCATTGCTAGCTGAAAAATTTTCACAAGGTCTAATTTGTACTCTAACAAACTCTGAAGAAGTGTCTGTAAACTAATAAATTAAGGGGGGGAATCTGTTTAGTATTTAGAAAATCAGCAGTTTTGCTAATCCTTTTTTTTTTTTTTTTAAATGCCTCTAGGTTTTAACTGCACATGTTAAACTGTTTTTGGGAAAAAAGTTTTTAATGCACTTAAAAGGGGTTTTTAAAAATTTTCCATGTAAAGTAGGGTTAAAATGGCCAAAGGTCCCGGTTAGGCTTGGTCATGTTCTATGGGTGCTCCCATATCTGTTAACCTGGCAGTATCCAGATCGATATGTGTAGAACTAAGTTGAGTTCTATGTTTTCAATCTGGGATGGCTGCTGTTCAGTCAATCTGTGAAAAGGAGGGACGTTTAGTACAATACATCGAGCTGATTGGGTTACATGGCAGCTAGTACCCGCCTTCCATATCCAATCGTAGTAGTGCGATTCGTCTGCAGCTTCTTGAGTGTTTTCACAACTAGCAAAATAAGCTAGGAGTATTTCAAGATGGATTTGTTGTTAGACTGGAAACTCAGATCTTGTGAGAATCCAGCTTGCAGTGCAAGGTTGCATATCTGTTTGACTGTGACCATTTCATTCTCCAGTTAAACTCAGGAAACCTGTACGAGGCGGGCCAGCTGAACCTGCTGTGTGTCATGGAGCTGTTGAATCATGCTCTGCAGGCCCTCAAAGAGGAATGCTTTCGGATCTCTCCCTCTGTCAAGTCCCAGCCTGGTGCTCAGCACCTTCAGGAGAAGTGCCAACAGATGTGCCGAGTGCTGCAGGACCTCCGCTTAATCAGGTAGACCAGTGATTTCCAACCTTTTTTGATTTGTGTTCCCTTTTGGGACATTTTGTCATACCATGAGTTCCCCTCTCAGTCAAAGGCATTGATTGTTCAAAAGTGGAATGTACAATAACTGAAATAAAGACTATTTTGAGACTGATCTCTGTAAGAAGCAGAATGGAGAGATACAGAAGAGTTGTTTTTTTATTTTTATTTTTTTTATTTAATCCTATGTTTTTATTTTTGCTATCGAGCAGGTTAATTTCCTATCAATCTTAATGTTTTAATTTTTATTATATGCTTTCCATCTCAAATAAAAAAACAAGTATTTTGCCTGAAAGTTTGTGAGGAATTGAAATAAATGCAAAATAAAATCATATTATAAACCGGTCTTTGTAAAACTGGAGCTTCTTTGAGTAATTTCACTATTATCACATTAAAACTTGGTGAATTGGTAACAAGATAGAGAAGAGAAATTATAGTTAAACTGACTTAATTGGGTTTTCACAAAGAAAAACAGATCTATCCCCATTTTATTTTACTATCTAAGAAATAAAATATTTTAATGTTCCCCTTGCAATGCACTTGCAGACCACTAGGGGTACACGTACCCCCGGTTGGGAAACACTGAGTTAGAACATAGGCTCTGCTCACTCTATGCACTCCAACTGTGTTGCATGTCCTAAATGTACATGTTTGTCCACATATTAAATTTTTTTTCTGAATGACTTTGACTTTCGGAGCTTAATGTCTCTCCTTCAGGCAGAAACTTTCCAAGGAGGAAATTCCTGAAGTGAAGAGTGCCATCAGAGAGCTTCAGGCCAGCTGGGAGCAGAAGTGGATGCACACACTGAAAGAAAAGCCACTTGTTTCTTTCCTGAATGAGGATCCTGTGAGTTTCCCCTTTAGTGTTTAACAGGATTAAACAAGTATTTAACCAGACTAAACTGACCCTGTATCTTATTCTTTTAGGCTCTTGGTTTCCTCTCACCAATGGCTCCGTTGTCTTTTGAACCGGCTCCTGAAGCTACTTACAGGCGCAGCATCTTTGCTCAGTTTCCTGCTAAACTTCTTGGTACGCAAAACTTTTTTTTTTTTTGCCAAATTTAAACCATCTAATAAAATGTGACATTTTTAACTTTTAGATGACAAGCCTACAGAGGTGAAACCAACAGAAAGTGTCCACACAAGTCTGGATATCAGAAGGTAATCACGGAGCAGCTACAGAGGGAAGCTTAAAGCTCACCCTGGCGGGAGGCAGATACCTGGGCAGTCCTAAGCAGTGGTCTGTCCGTCACTGGTCCTCCCAAGAGCATCCCTGCTTTCTGATGACCGCGGCGAATTGAGAGAAATCGCCACGGACAGATACGGAGCAGACACTTTGATCAGAGTTTAACTGCGGCATTTCAGAGTTGATATGATGATAAAAATATATATAGTTTAATCGATGAAGGCCTACCTATCATACTAAGTCATTGCGTGTTTCTTTAAATTCCTTTAAAGTGAATAGTTTTTGATGCATGGATCTTAGCAGTCTTCATTTGCCTTAAAATGCTGCTTTGTATTGTATAAAATATCAGATTATTATTTTGGAGGGGAAAGGCATCCGTTTTAAAACCGGTGCTTTTAAAAAAAAAATAATTTTAAGAATCTCTCTACTAATCAGATTTTTTTTTTTTTTGTGGATCCGTACAGGAGAAATTTAAGATCCTATGTACCTGCATCACAGAAATGTTGCATTAATTTTGTCATCTTCCAGCTGCAAACTCGATGTATTAAAAAAAATAAATAAAAAATTCAGCTAAAATGCAGAGCATAAAATGCTTATTATTTCACATATTTCAGTTTTCCTACAGTGCCTGAGCCATCTGAACGCACCGTTGTTTCTGAAGCATCGCGAGCAAATTCATCCCTGGATTGGCTCTTCGACACGCCGCCATCCCCTCATGGAAAGGCTGCAGCTGTAGCACCGCTTCAGGTGAGTACTGCGTTAACCAGGGTTCCAGTGGATCTATTGGTCTTTATTGCATCTGTGTTTATTTGCAGCCGCCCAGTGTTGACAAGACGACCCATCACAAGACTGCTCCGGTGAAGACTCACTCTGAGATTTTAGACTTGGAATATGAAAACCTCGCTGATCAGGTACTTTGAAAGCCTCTTCTTAGAAATGCATTTTACAAAGAGGGTTTAAACATGCATGTAAGAATTTTTTATTAGTTTGCAGATGCCGTAACGACAACCAGTCCGTTTGATGGCCAAGGGAAAGGTTCCGATTTAGAGGATCTTCTAAGCACCCTTCAGATGGATCCATTTTCTACTAGAAAGCAGCTGCCTCGAACACCTAAGAGCTTAAGTGAGTTGGAAAGATTTGCAGACCGTTTCACGTCTCTTTGGCTGAAATTTATTGAATGATTTTTGAGACTAAGGCAATTAATGTATGAGTTTAAAAAAATTCTACAAGTTTGGTATGCATTTGTATTCAGCCTCTTGAATCAATGCTTCACAAAAGTGTTTTGCAAAAAAAACTGCAGGTCTTTGGGTTTTGTTTAACCACCCCCCAACTGGTAGAAAGAGGCTGAGGTTTTAGCTCATTGTAAAAATAGCTCAAGTTCAGGAAGAGGTTACCAATTGGGTTATAGGTCTATGTTGACCTAAATTCTTTATATTTCTGAACATCAAAAGTGTTTAAATCGAACGTTTGATTTCTCACTACTAAAAAGATGCTCTAAGCTATGTTTCGTTAAAGTAATGGGGTCCTCCTTAGTTTTGATGCTTGATCTTTTAGACTTGGGCTACGCTCACACCGCAGAGTGAAGTGACCCAAATCCGATTTTTTTGTTTAACCATGTTTTTAAGGTTGGGTAAGATTGCTAGATGCTCTCCAGCACTACCATCCATGTTTACTTCCATAAACACAGAGCATGCCTGCTTGTGACATCATTGCGTCCTCTACTGCCCATGCTGGACACTTAATTTGTATGAATGCAGCTCACACAGGAGATCACGTACAAGTCGCATATATTTGGAAATGTGAATAGCAACGCAACAAAAATCTGAATTGAGCATCAAGGCCTGCAGTGTGAACGTAGCCTTAGACACTTGGGCTACGTTCACAGCCACTTGGCTATTTGGTCCTGAATCCGATACGAATCTGATCTTTTCAAATGCGATCTGTCTGAATGGCCAGGTCGCATTCATCCGGCCTGAACACAATACCAGACAAAGGTCACTATTCTGGGTCTTGCTATGAAGAAGCAACAAAAAAAACAACAAACATGGCGAAAGATGATGCGGAGAGCAGTATTGATGTTTAACCATCTTTAAAAGATGGAAATTTGAACGGTAACGCAAATAAATCCGATTTCAAAAAAATAAATAAATCGGAATTGAGCATCAAGGCCTACAGTGTGAACGTAGCCTTAAACTTTAGAGTGCAGCTGCGATTAAATGACCTACACATGAACGTGTTGGCTTATCAGATGTTTCTGGAAGCTTTGAAGCTCCAGTCTTTATTTGCAGGTGTTTGTTTATAGTAGAGGTTCCAAAACTCTTCAGCTTCTGACCCAAAATTTGGTATCAGAGTTGACTGATGACCCAAACCATTAGCTGGGTAAACAAACATCTCTACAAAATCAATTAATGACTGGTCTTATCGTTTTTTTTGTGTACACTTTAGGTTATTTTAACTCTAACAAATGTGGATCCCAAGACCCTATGCTGGTTGATTAAGGACCCCAACTTTGCAAAGCAATGGGTCTGAATACAAATGCAGTTTCTAGATTTTAAGACCTCTTACTTTTGTTAATGAGATGCATTGATTTTTGTTTTCTTATATAAGCCATAACATTTGCAAAAACACTAAGAACATGCAGTAAAATTGACAAACAAGACAAGTCCAGGATGACCATAATTGCAGCATTACATCTGCACACTATAATGCAACCTATTGATCTCTTAAAATATTAAATATTCCTTTTTCTACTTTTTTAAAGTAATGGATGTAAAAAGCTCCTGGAGAAAAGCTGTTGATGAGGATGAAGCGAAAAGACACTCCCTGCAAAGTGAGTCCAACGACAGCATATCTGGGCGACTCAGTCCTGTGAGTAGGGTGCTAAATCTGAGCCCCTCCCTGGCTGAAAACCAGACCTCTCCCCCCACTCTTGGAGATCAGGAAGCCTCCTCCGCCTGTCAACAGGGACTCGTCCCCAAATCTTCTCTTTTATGGGAAACTTTCTACACAGAGGCTCATGACACCCCCAGCGGAACTGGCAGCAGCGCCGTACAGTTCAGCCTCGAACACGAAACTCTGCCTGAAATGCCGAGCTGTGATAGTTTGTACCTGGAGGATGAAGCGGTGGATATGACGAGTGAGGAAGAGGAGCTACTCATCCCCTCCTTAAAGACTGATTTAAAGCAGACCCCAACCCCTTCAACTCATCCAGAGAGGAACGCGGTCTCCCTGATTGAAGGCTCCCCTGGGGGTCTTCTTTCAGATCACAGGATCTCTGCTAAAGACAAAACCTGGCTGACTGAACCCACAGCATCAGAAGACGATACCAACAAGGTGTTTTCATTGGATCTGGATTCACTGGATTCTCCTCAAAAGAAGGAGTACAGCCTGCCCACACTGATCACCTTCTCCCCTATTGATGACATGAAGTGTTAGCAGCATTAAAGGCAGCTCCTTTCTCTTTTTAAATTGTTGGTGATGGACTCTTGATTCCAATTGTGCTCTAAATGGATAACATTTGTGTATATAGCTGTAAATAAATAAATCACATCTGTTGCACTCTGGATTAGCTCTAATTGGATTGAAGAAAATGATCCCTGAACTGAACCACTAAGATTGTCACAGTTTATAACTTCTGTCTTGTCTGACCCTGTGTAGATCAGAGAATAACTTGAATAAAGAAAACTTTGCAAAGTAAAATGTTGTTTACATCTCACCACTCTGTTATGAAAAATAACTTCCAAGTGCACCGGGGGTGAAAAAAAATTGGAAGCTAGCAATCACATAAGTATAAAGGAGCAAATGCTAGTCATTTATGTTTAGGTATCTTAAATATCTACTAAACAAGACTGAGATGTTCTTCCCCTGAAAGCTTAGAATCAATGATTAACACTTTTTGATATTTATTACAAGAATGCAAAGTCAGGAGGGTTGACAGACATTTATTCCTTGCAGTTCCATCCTCTTAAACTAGGGGGTGTCAAAAGCTGCAGGAACAAGCTGCAGTATTTAAGTGTCAAGTTCACACTAAACTGGACAGAAAGCCGGAAGTTGGTAGACTTCTTTTTTTTATTAACCAATTTGATATTGGTTTAACTTTAAGATTTTTTTTTCTTAATTAGAACTAAATGTTACGCGTTTAACTTGCTATACAGGAGGCCCTGGGTCTGCAGTAGTAAATGGATTATCTGGTAAATTGATCAATGCAGTTAGCACATCTATAGTTATGCTTGAAACTTAAAGGTGCACAGTAAAATCGAATTTGACAAAAGTAGTGAAATGAAAAATGGAACTCATAACATAAATATATTAAACTATAATTTTGAGCAACAGTGTTATCACTTTTTTTGAGTTTTATTTGAATTAAAACTTTGAATTTGCTCTTTATTCTAATGGGAGGGCATGTCAACTTTCAAGCACAACCTTATGGATCCTTGTTGAGGTTTAAAATTTGAGAAGTGAAACCTAAATAAACCTTGACTTTCTAATTTGGTGATTGTAATGAATGTAAATCACATTTCCCAAAATAAAATAATTTTCAGGAACTCCTCTTTGGTCAAGTGACCTTTACAGGTTGCTCTATGCGTGTCCAACTGAATCCAGCCTGCCACCACAATTTATCTAAAGCATTTTACAAAATGTGCTTTTAATCTTGACAAAGTGGATAAAATGGCTAAAAAGATTGCTGTAGTGGTAAATGAAATAAAACCAAAAGTTTGATTTATACCGTTTAAATTGGCCCTTCTGAAGACTAACGCTCAAGTGGCCTGATATAAAAATGTTTGGTTTCCCTGCTGAGAGGGCAGATTTAAAAAAAAACAACGATTAAAGGCTGGGCATTATAAGCTTATTGCTTCTGCAAATACCTTTTTCAGTTTTTTCTTTCTTTTAATTTATGTTACAAGGACATATACTGTCATGTATTGTATACTTTGGTTTCTGAAAATATCAAAAATATTAAAGATTTAAGTTAAATTCCTAGTCGATGCTATCAGTTGAAATTGTTTTTTTAAACAATTGTGTTGAAGTCTGATTTTACTGTTCATTTCCATAAATTTCATTAATTGCATCAGCACCACTTGTGGCAAAATGCTCCCACAGCATGATAGTGCTACTACCTTACTTGACAGTTCAATGTTTTAGTTTTAAAAGCCTCACACTGATTACTTAGAATAGCCCAGGCTTTAATTCCTCTGACCATAAGGCTTTTTCCAGAAGAACTTAGTTTATCAACATTAGCGACTACAAATATCAAAACTTACATTAACTGGGATTACTTTTCTTTTTCAGGATCCTCTCATTTGTAACTTTACTACTCTTGGTTAACTCTGAATACTGATAGTGTCCTTGCAATTACCATGGCCCCTGATGGGTTTATATGGGTTAATAATACTGCAATTTGAGAATGTATTTTTAAATCTGAGGACCGTCTCTGATTAGTTTAACTGGTTTGGAGTATGCTGAGGAACCAGAAGGTTCCCAGAAAAAGGTAAATGAGAGTGTAAAACAAAAAAATATATTACTGTGATTTAGAAAGGTATTCATAATCAAATTTATGAATTGAGTTTTTTAAATCTTAATAATTTAACATAATTGATCTAACATTGGAGGATTTTACCTCTGCATTTAACCCATCCCCTTGGGGAGCAGTGGGCTGCCATCGTGGGGTGCAATCGGGGGTTAAGGGTCTTGCTCAGAGACCCACAGTGGCAGTCTGTGTTAGGGGTTTTCGAACTCACAACCTCAGGACTCCAAGCTCCTAACCACTAGGCCACCACTCCCCTGTTTAGATATAGGATTTAAAAACACATGTTTAAATTGCATTATTTAATAATGGATTAATAAATACACTTTAAAAATCCTAATGATAATTAAATTTTTATTTAATTTGATTAAAAAAAATGGCTGATTAAACACTTTTTAAATTGTATTCCTAACTGTTAGATTTAAATGGTATATTTTCATAGGTCCTCCATACATCATCACCAAAACATTAAAATATACTAGCTGGCAATACAAGCGTTTTCTGATTGTGATTCACTACAAAGGCATAAAAAAACATTTTAAAATTATTTTTCAAAACGAAACGCAGTATAGCTTATGTTCTGTATTTCCATAATTTGTTCAATGACTTAACCCCCCCTCCCTCTAGCTGGTAAGTACCTTTAATTTGAAGTGTAATGAATATTGAGTTTTATTTTGAAAATAACTCCCGGAAGCAGTCGGTCTTTCAAAGGCTAACTTTTCGAAAGTTGGCAGCCAGCCCGTGTCAGTTAAAGCGGGGACAAGCTGTGGCCGCTCCTCTTCTCTGGGCGGTTCCACACTCAAAGAGAGAGAGAGGCGTTAAGGACGAACCATCTCCTACAAAACTATCAGCTCAGACACAAAAACATGGCGCCTACCTCCGCCAACAACTTCAGATGAGATCGCAAGAGAAGAAGTAGCCTGCAAAGTTTCATAGAACAAGACCAAGCAGCGGTTTTTTTGCCCCCTCTCTGCGCGCAAAGTCCCTGTGATAAACGGAATACATAAAGCGGCGAAACACCAACTTGCCTTCATGTCAACATAGTCTCCTGTTGCAGTGGAAACAGCTGGTGAGTTCTCACGGTTTACAATATTGCGAAACTAGTGAGTGAAACGGAGTAAGTTGAGTTGATTATAAATTGCAATTAAAGTATTTTTTGAGGAGACTAGCTGCGTGTCGACAGACTTCGGTGTTACGTCTTCACTTTTCACCGTGGAAATAGAGAGGCTGAGCCACGTATCTCCGCTGATCACTGGAGGAAACTGGCTTTGTTTTGGCCGCGCTGGTGTGTGTTTCCTGCATCGACGTTGACCTACTTCTGGGTTCAGATGCAACAGTTGGGAACACCGGAGCCCCCCCTCCTCCTATTCGGGCCCTCTTTTTGCTAATCAGCCTGCCTGAACCTCCGCAGGTGCGATTCTCCTCTGTGAACTTCCTGCTTGCGCTGTAATTCAGCACGCTGTGTTGATCCGTTGGTGCAGGGAGGTGTGGGTGTTTAACTGCACATAATGAGGAACTGTAAACCCCACTTCCTGTTAAATTAGTGGCCAGCTTTTAATCCAGGTAATTATAGCCCAAAGTTATCTTTCTAGAACACACGATGATTTCTATACGTTAAGATGCAAAGATCAGACATGTTAACTAGTCCCTACCAGGGGCGGAGCTAGATGGGGGGCCAGGGGGGGCCATGACCACGCTTAGCCAATCAATTCAATTTTCAATTCAGTTTATTTATATAGCACCAATTTACAACACGTCATCTCAAGGCAGTTTACAGTTCAACCAGATCATACAGTCAAATTGATTCAAAGTTTTCTATGTAAAGAAAACCAGTTGATTGCATCGACTAATTGACTCGAATGCAATCCCTCACACTAAGCATGCTTGTAGCGACAGTGGAGAGGAAAAACTCCCTTTTAACAGGAAGAAACCTCCAGCAGAACCAGGCTCAGTGTGAGCGGCCATCTGCCGAGGCCGACTGGGGTTCAAGGAGACATGAACCAGAGATACAAAAAGCAGCTGTAAAAGGCGGCCCCGTCCAGGAAACACACAGCCAGGCAGACGAGCACTTAGCCAGCTCCCATGTAAGAGGATGAAGAGAGCACATCCAGTCAGACACAGTCATAGAAACAGGACTACACTTGAAAAACAGGCCGATCTCCAACATCTATAAAAAAGGTGTTAATGGCAGCAGCACAGCTGATATTTCTTTCCAGGATGGTTTCACAGCCAAACAGGAACAGATAAGGTGAAACTACAATGAGAAAAGGCAGAGAGAGAATGACGTTAGAGATTAAACGAACAGATTCTGCAGACTAGAAGAATAGAGATATAAAGAAGGGAAATTATGAAATAGGGGTCCCTATGTCCTCCAGCAGTCTAAACCTATAGCAGCATAACTATAGAGATAGCTCAGGATAACCTGATCCACTCTAACTATAAACTTTATCAAAAAGGAAAGTTTTAAGTCTACCCTAATCAGTGGCCACCCCTACCATTTTTTCTCTCAAGTAGAATATTCAAAACAATTAGATTTTATATATATATTAAGAATTACTTGACAACAAAAACACTTTGGTTAATTATGCACATCAGTATTCAAACATTAGAGATGATTAGTACAGAATTCCTGCTCTTTCAGAACTAGATTTTGTGTTAAATGCCATAAAGAGAAAATGATGTGACTCTGCAAGTCATCTAAGAGTCTTCAGTGAAATCATAGATACTGTAAATAACTATTTTAATAAAAACCTGTTAAATTATCAATTTATGTAGGATTTGTACCTATAAATATCAATTTCATGCACAATGACATTGATAAAAGTAGATAAGTACTGACGATGGAAAAGATGTTCGCTGCAGAACTCAAACCTGAAAGAATCCAATATACCTTTTACCTGGACGGATGTTTAATTATATGCTTCTATTTGTTAGCAAAGGCTATAGGAAAGTATAGTTTGTCTTTATTTAGAAATATGGACGGGGGATTTGTTCCTGTTCTGGTGCCTATCCACTTTTGGCCACCCCTCAGTATATGTTGCTTATTGCCTGGCCAGCCTTATAACAATTTTCTGGCTACGCCCAAGAAGCTTTTGTATAGTTCTAAGTAGATATTTGAATACTCTTCCTTTTAGAGGTGATAGTATTCCTGACAGAGTGGCTTCAAGACCAGTT